TCTTCCTCAGCACTGAGGAGATTTAAGGGGTTAGGTTCAAATAAGAGCTGAACTTGTGATCATAAAGAGAGATTTTATTTAACCAAACTAAGACATGTTGTAAATGTTAAAACAAGAATTTATCTTTACACTTTAAAATGTGTTGTGTTACAGTTACTATTCCTGGCTGATAAACACCCTGGTTACTGGTGAGTTTATGTACATTTTATTCACAACACCTTATGTCTAATGTGTTTTGTAGATACTGTAACTAACGTGTCTGTTGTTTCCCCAGGAGTTTACGCCCTTGGCTTTTTATCCATGGCTCCTCAGATCTTCATCAACCACAAGGTTTGATAAACCAGGGGGAACTCAAGTCATGCTCTGATTTTGTTTTCTAAACACAAATAATCCAATATGGTCTGACTAAATCATTCTGAGGTTGTTGTCCTGATGGAAGTTGCACTTTTGCCCCAGTTTCAAGTATTTTCCAGGCTCTGATATTTTTTCTCAAGCATTTTCTTTTTGGATCCGTCTACCTTCTGATTGACTCAGGCCTGCTTTTATGCATCTATAGGGGAAAATCCTCCCCACAGGTTGTGCGGTAAAGGGGATATCAACACTTTTTCTTTGTTTTCCTTTTTTTCCCTGCATGGTTTGTTGCTTACATTAAGGGAAAAGCTACAACTTTAATTCCTTCTGGCCACTAAGTGGCATTTGTTCACTCGTACTAATGCTAAGCAAACCAAATACTTAACCTACCAGCTCAGAAGAGAAGTGGCAACCTCTGCATTCCTTCTAAGGACCTTTTTCCTTAGGTCAGCACTACAGTAGTTCCAAATAGCTTGACTTTTTGGCTTTAATCTAATAAACAGATAACAATCTAACAATCTAATAAACAACACAACCGTTTCTCAGCTCCACCATGGAGCTACTAGGATCTAGCAATGCCTGAATTCTGCATCACTTTAACCTCCTCTTCCTATTGGAACATAATCCTTTCACATTGATGTTTGCATCAAACACAGAATGAATATTTAAATATTTTGGACCTGACAAAATTTATAAAAACAAAAACACAACTTTTTTTCCCCCTTTTCCTAAATGTATTTTTGGTCAAATTCATACTTTTATTACGCACCAGTCTTGATGTTCTGTGGATTTATTACTTTTAAAAATTATTCATTTTGATGAGAGCGGAGCTATGACCTTTAAGAATGACCTCTAATGGCTTTCTTCTCCCTACAGTTCTCTTTCAGGGAGAGCAGCGTTGTGTTGAGTTCTAGTAGTAGTTGTTCCTGAGGTGTGAGTCTCTGCAGCTCCTCCAGAGTTACCAAAGATTTAGGAGTTCCCTATCTTGGATGCTCTCTGATATATTTTTCGTCCTTGTTTTTTTTTAATGGTCTATCAGTTGAAATGGATGTACAGATTTTATTGATTGTAGCCGAACTATCGACTGAGATATCCATGGGTCCTTTGGGTTTTTTTAATTTTTTTATTTTCCACAACTTTACCACTGGCCTGTCTGATGTTCTTGAGCAAACTTCTGAAACCTTTACATAACAGCTGGATTAGCAAGGAATCAAATTAATAAATTGGTTGCGTTTAAATGCAGTTGGTTGCACTGGATGTTTTTTTTTCCAATTTGTAAAAAAGAGGTATTTAGATTTAAACCATTTAGATTTCATTTCACAGTTGTGTCTTACTTTGTGCCGGTCTTTCACAGAAAACATCACCAAAAATACGATGAAATGTGTGAAGTAGCAGAATAAGACCATGTTAACATTTCTTTTTATGTTTGTCTGTTTGCCAGTTAAAGTCTGTGAGCCACCTGCAGGGGGCAGTGTTGATGTACAGGGTGAGTACCTCCCTCAGAGCAAAGGCCAAATATAATGCACCACTGAAATTCAACATAATGTGAGTTTTTCAAAAGCTCTGAATAATCTGCTTTCCTCACCAGGGAGTGAACACGTTGATCTCAGATCTGTGCTCCTGCGCCTCCTTCTTCTCCTCTCCTGTTCCCTTCACCTCCTCACATCAGCTGTCCTGCTTCAGAGATGAGCTCCTCTTCCTTCTGTATCTCTACCAGCGAAGGTAAGAGGGCAAATATAAGCGAGCCAAACAAACAGTATTTATACACTAAAACTACATTTTGTTTGTTCTAGACGTTACAGTTCAATAGCAAAGAGAAGAGAGACTAAAAAAGTGAAGACCCAGTGAGGAGACAAAAGGAGTGTTGGAAAACACCACAGACGGCCCAGCTCAGTAGGAAAGGGACTGATCAAAGACAGGAACCTTCCCCTCATGTGCTGCTGTGGTGGCAGACTGATCTGAGACCAGCAGTTCTGCTTCTGAAGCTCCACTACTGTATTATCAGAGCTGATGCTTTGAGTCTGTCTCTGGTTTATCTTTTATTTTGAAGCTGCAGACACACCATGTAGACAGTTTTTAATCCTTGATTGCTTCTCATTTCCATCAATAGCATCCTTTCACTCCTGCTTTGTATTTCTTTGCTGTGTTGTAAAAAGATCAAGCATTATTTAGAAAATCGCCTTTGGTTTTTGACTTGACTAAAAATGAAGAAAGACCATAAAGTGATCTCATCTGGAATGTTTAAGATGCAGGTGAAAGTGAATTTAACATTCTTTACCATTTTAGAGTTTGCATGTATCTAGAATAATTTATATGCTTGGTCCAGCATTTATCTGTAGCCATAAGCACATCAGAACCATCTGAAAAAAAAGAGAAACGTTCTGGATTTATCTAAAAGCAGCAGCTCAGAACTTTTACAACCCTTCTGTTAAGATTGATTCAAGTTAATAAAGTTTTTTCAGACATGATGTTTCTGGGAAGAAAGTGATTGTGTCCGTGTTAAATGTTTCTACAAGCTTTTGCAAAAAATTATAAAGATTCTTGACCAAACTTTGGGAGATAGAAGCTACAGTGGGGATTTTCTTTATAATTTCACACTGCAGATTAGAAATATATAAAGATAAAACATGCCTTCCAGCCACGTTTCACTTTAAATCATGCTGCAGTTACTCTACATTTAAAATGTAAGGTCAATACTCTTGTTATGCTGGGAAAATTCACTTGTGGCAATGAAACTCATCCCTTAAATAGAAGTGAGCTCCACTTCTTTAAACAAGCCCTGCAACTGGAGGGTTGTAGGTTCAAACCCCAGCTCCGGCTTTCAGTGCTGTTGTGTCCTCGGGCAACACACTTTATCATCTACTGATGGTGTGGCTACAATGTAGCTTGCCACCATCAGTGTGTGTGAATGGATGAATGACTAAATGTAGTGTAAAGTGCTTTGGTCAAGTCCTCTGACTTGAAAAAGTTCTATATAAGTACAGGCCATTTACTATATATCCAGATGAGCCATCTTAATCATTTTCTGTAATACATTTCTTTCCCTTGTTGAAAATTACAGCTTTCTGTTTCTCATTTCTTGTTGCTATTCCATAAGCAGCAGGTCTGAAGACTTGTCTGTAAAAAGTTCAGAGAAATGCTAACAGCCTTGTTTACTTCAGCTGATTCCAGGAAGAAGAATGTGTTTTGTTTTGTTCAAATTATTTTCTGTGGCCACTGAATGCTGTAAGACGAAGCTAAAAAGTTGTTTCTAGCACAACTCCATAAAAGCAGCATTTAAAGGACGATCTTTTTACTATAATATCTGCCTAAATGGTTGTTCGATGGCACAGAAATTAGTAAATCAACGACACGATGTTGCATATTTTAATATGCATCACTGGATAGTTTTCTAACTTCCTGCTGTGCAATGGTGCCAAGTCTTGCTTGTATTTAAAAAGCAACTGCAGATTTAGTTTCACCTGGGTTATTTCTTTAAATTCTGTGTAATAAAACAGTATAACCGCCATTGATATTTTCTATCATTTCTGAATATTAGATGCATTTTGGGATACATAAAAAAAAAAAAAATGACAGCTGAGTTATGCTCTTATGTTTCTTAGCCTAGCCTCGGTTGTGCTTAAAGCATTGATACCACCGCAGGAAAACAGAAACTTGCTTTCTCTACAGAGCTGTTAGAAATAAATGCAAGGTGTTGGTCAGAAACAACTTTAGGTCTTTCCTCCTTAACTAAAAGAATAAATCTTTCTATTCCTGCAGAATTTGTATTAACCTTCATTCATTCTTTCAAGAAGGTGTGAAGAAACCATGATAAACTGGAGGAAATAGCCAAAGCATTGCAAGATGTTTACACTGCAAATAAAAAAAAATATTTGCAGAGCAAATATAAAAACTGTGCAATATGTACACATATATATCTGGATTTATTTAAGCGCATCAGAGTGAATAGGGGGATATGAATGCTCACTGCACTCATTAGATAAGTAAGAATTGGGTATCCTTCTGGGTAAAAACTTTATGTTGGTCTATTACACACTGAATACCAAAAATATATCAATCAAAACAAATGGATCATGAAATGAATGGATCTAAAATATCGCTCATAACATGCTCAACCTTTAATAGAATGAGATGAAACATTCACATCTGACCTTCCGGGTGTTATTTCTAAATTCTTGAAAAGCTTGTTCATGTGTTTGCAGCGAGGCGAGAGTAAACACTCCTCTGTTTAGCAGACAGAAGTGAGCCTAATAAAATTGACTACTTATGTAACGCAGGTGTAGGTTTAATAATCAAAATAACAGCTGACACTTTTAAGGACCAACAGGTCATTAAAAAGATTTATGATTAAAAAAGAAAAATATTGAAAAGGTGTAACTATTACAAGGACAATCCATTATCCAAAAAGTTTTCACTTATGATCTCTAGGCTTTCTTGAAATTCAAACCTGCAGTTACATAAAATGAAAGTTATACAATAAGGTAACAGCGGTCTGCCACTGACAGCTGGTTTATGCATGACAAGTATCTACGAAACCACTGCCAACATCCAGGAATGTCCATTACAATGAGGAAACATTTGGCTTGATGCCAAGGAGATGTCTGATGTGGGAGGATCTGCTCCAGCTGCTTGCTTTAGAGCAAACACCTGAAACCGCACACACACTCACACACACACACGGAGAGCTGAACATAACAGGTTTGACCGCAGAACGCAAACTTTGACATCAAAAGATGTTGCTTAGCCTTGTGATCCTCTTCTTCCTCTTCTCTCCAGGTATGTGAGCTAACCTCTAAAATACTAATAAATTGTATCCAGTTTGAGAAATTATTGAAGAAATGATCTATAAAGATGACTGATGTCAGTATAATAATAATAATAATAATACTTTCTATGTAGAAGGATTCACTGTAAAATGCACAAAGAAAGAAAGACGAGCAGGCAGGTTGGGTGACTTGCTGTCAGATAACTGGAATCTTTTTAAAGTCACGTTTTCAGTCTTATTATTTTGTATTTTAGAACAATTTATGGACATTATTTCATTTAAAGAATTTATTTTAAAAAAAAGTTTTTTTCACTGCAGACATTTCTGTCATTTTCCCATATCTGTATGACTTATTATAATGCAGTTTTTTTTGGATCATATCTGAAGTCAGTTTCCTTCCACATATAGTTCAATGTATTTTTCATTAAAGTACTGGATATTAAAATCTTTCTTGAAGATTAAAAAATACATAAAATAAAATATAAATATAGGAATAAAAAAAATCCTATTTACTCTGCAGAGATGAAGCACATATTTCTTCAGTCTAGCCGTCTGTTTTCTTTTTTTTACACATTTTATTGTTTTAAAACAAACATTTTCATATCAGTCAAGTAAATATTCCTTGTATAGCTACACCGATTAGCTACTTAGAGATTAACTCTCGAAATTTTAGAACATATGAGTCACTTTATGCAGGCTAAACTCCAGCAAATCTCTATGAGATGGGAAAATAAAATTTTTACATCATAATTAATATTCAGGCAGCTTTTGCTGAAGAATTAAATGGACCTAATCAGCTGAAAAGTGATGACCAGTTATCCAGATGTTGAAAATCCATCCGTCTCCCATCGCTCATCCGTTAGGGTCTCAGTTGGATGGTCCCTACCTCCAGCAGTCTATGGGACCCAGGACAGGTTGTCAGTCTAGCAGAGCAACAGAGACATACTCACACACCTAACAGCATTTTATAGTCAACTACTAACCTAATAGTCATGTTTTAGGGCCTGAGAAAGCCTGAGAACCTGCAGAGAACCACACAGAGAGACCATTAATACTACATGCAGAAAGACCCTAGGCTGGGATCTGAACCCAGGACCTTGCTGCTTAATAAACAGTGTCACTGTGCAGCCTGACCTGGACAATCCAGAATGTCAGAGTCTCGTATTATTTTGTAATAGCAACAGGCTTTCTCATTAAAAAAACCCCAAAAACTTATATCTGGAAAAATTGTGCAAGGTCCCTTTAAACAACTTCAGGCAAGGCTGCATTAATAGAAACAAGTTAGATGAAACCAGGGAGGACTAATTATGTGTTTACAGCTTGTTACGTAATGAGTTAGGTGTGTGTTAGGAGGAGAGATGTGAAACTAGACAGGGCTAAACATCCAGTAAATGGATCACATGCAAAGCATCAAAACTACACATGCTTTCCACTATTGTCCAGTCTTTAGATTAAGAATTTAAATTATTATTTTTTTTCTTAAGGGATGGAACTTTGTAAGTTTGAACCTATTTTATTTATACAATAGGAGTCAATTTTCATAATGATGCATAAATCTGATAACGTTACAAGCAAAGCAGATCTATGAAATGTGAAGCAAACAACACAGAAGCTCCTAATTAAACAAGCAAGCCTGACCAGTTAAGGCTTTGTTTCTCCCTTTTAAAGGCACTTTTATGTAACTTAGGAGTTTAGATTTTTTGTGATTTCAAACTCGTTTCAACATTTAGTCTGTGATCAAGACGACTTTCTTTTAAAAAACACAATTAGGAAAGACACAAATTTAAAAACAAACTGCATGATATTTGGCACAAATACAGTTAGAGAATAATAATATGAAAGATTTTGTTTACTCATTCATCAATGAGTAAAACCTGGGTTCCCTTTAAAAGTCCCATTAAGACTCCACTAAAAATATCAGCCTTTTGTCTTGTAATATTTACCATCCTGCCTGGATTAAAACCTATAACTTCATCTCTCACCTGACTATAACTAATTTCTGTGCAGTAACGTCTCTGAAGTGTTTCGTGTGCAGCTCCTCCACCACCAATGATGAATGCAACCAGAGCAGTCAGAGCTGTCAGCAGCCACTCGACACCTGCATGACCATCGTGGACACCCTGGGTAACAAACAGCAGATCTATGCTCTCATCTTTGTTTCCTCGTTAAAGTATTACAAATATTAAAAGTATAAAAAATACGATCTCTTGATCATAAGTAGCAACCCTCAAGTTTGACATTAGAAACACAGAGGTGGGTATTATTGTGATATGAATGAAAATAATGAGTAACAATTCACAAAGTTCTAATTTAGCAGTATGCTGACAGGATATGGGGTCAAAAGAGAGAGAAGACATGCAGATAAGGATTATGGGTCAGGGTTTGAACTCAGAAAAGCCTGTCAGAGATTGAGGCCTCTAACATTCGCTGTGCCCAGCGGTGCCATTGATTGAAAACACAAGAACCTGAGCTGAGAACCGCTGATCTGCACCCTTCTCACTCAGCTCCAGCTGTTACAGGTCATTGCTCTACCATAAGGGGAAACTTTGCAGCCTCTGCACTGAAAAAAGAATGCATCCATTTTGGCATTTACTTAATCATATTTAGTTACGTTAACACAATTGTTTTGTTGTTCCCTGCTAACATGAAACGTTTGTGTTAAAGTAACTAAATATGATTAAGTAAATGCCAAAATGGATGCAGTCTTTTTCTCAGTGTGACAGGTTTTCCTGGATACTTACCGCCATGCAATTTGGACCAGCTTCGCTGTCCCTGCTGAAGAGAGGGTCCACAGCATGATGCAGCCACTAACTTGTATTAGTGTATCTATCATATATCTTTTAAGAGGGAATTGGAATTTCAACGTCCAGACAAAAGTTTTTGTTTTCACAGTTGGCTGTGCCTCTTCTCTATCTTGTTGCAAACTGATACAGGAGTCCGTTCCAGTGACGCCTTTCTTCAAGCTACTCTTGCAGAAAAGTCAGATTTCCAGAGTTCACAATTTATCGTTGTCAGCAGAATTTCCCACCAGAGTTATAATTTGCCATCTGGAAAGCGGTCTCAGTATAGATAGCTGGTCTACACTTATCTTCAGATGATGGAAGGAGCAGAGCTCAGACAAATGTTCAAAGCTTGGGACACGGTTTAAACCCCAAACCCTAATTTACTGTATTCCATTTTGTCCTGAACCTGCCAGCTGCGTTCCTTGGTTTTTATATTCACAGAACAGCTGGATTCAAACAATGAATTTTGATGAAATCAATTGCTTAATCATTAGACTATTTTTTTACGAAATAAATTGTTATGGTGGTGAGCTTTTATGAACTTTATTTAGAGAAAAAACAGGGGATACAAATGCACTAAAAACCCAACCTTTCTTTTCTCTCTACTTAATTTACCACTACTTTTTCAGAATTATCCAATAAAACTGTGGTTTTTGAAGGGATAACAGGAATAAATCTGCAGAGTATATGTGTGTTTTTGAGCATAAGAAATCTTGCTGTTATGGTAACAGCTGCACGTGTGTGTACGTTGTCCAGGTTACATGAAAGCCATTGTGAAGCAATGCTCCAGCAGCAGCACATGCAAAGGAGCAGCCTCCACCGCCTCAATGAATGCAGATGGAAACGGAAACACCATCAACTGCTGCAACTACGACATGTGCAACTTTAGCGCAGCCGAATCCGTTCACTCACACATGCTGCTGCTGCTTTTAACTGTGGGCATCCTACTGCTGCCATCGCTCTGAGGTCCATTAGAGAAGCATAGAGCATCGCCTCTACACCAAGATAGAAAATCATGTAAATACCTGTAAATCTATTATATTATACTGAAAAGATTTATTTTGTATATAAATGCTAAGACCTATTAGAGAAAACCTTGTATATAACATGCTGCTAATTATGAGAAAATACTCATTAAAATGGGAACATAGACATGAATAAATAACATTCATTTTTTGCAACTACAACATTTTTACATCAGGTTGCAAATAAAAACAACAAATTTCCTTTTGAACATTGTTTTATTTTTTTCCTCATATTTCACAAGATGGCCGATTCAGCCAGGAAGTCAAAATAAAAACCAGTGTTTACTATGACGGGTTCTGTACAATTCATCAGTGATACACACCAGTATAGCTCACAATATACCAACATGAGCAGAATTACGCAACAACACTGAGATAAAATAGATTGTTTTTTTTATTGATTTCTTTTTTATAACGAGTGCGTTTTCAGTGTATTTTGGTCCACATGAGATCCAGATGTTTATCTCCTTTAATTGCTGGCTAAATATGGAGATAACATCTGGGTTTTATGTGGATTAAATCCATCAGAACTAGTGTTTTTCTTTTTTTTTTTTTTTAGGTGCTGTGCAAATATGCTCTTCTCCTTACCAGTATATCATGCTACACCAGTACGGTGGCCAGGGTGTTTCATATAGATGTATGTCACAGCAGAACAAGTTCCAGTCCGCATTTTCTCCTGGTTTTGTTTGTTTGTTTTCTTGGAGACTGTTGCTAGGAGGGACATTTTTTTTTTTTTAAGTGTTGCATCTGACATAAACGAGGGATTCACACAGGTTCCAGGTGTGGGTTTGGTTTTGGCCCAGCAAAGTGCAGGTGTAGTGCCTCTGAAGGGGGTTTTGGACCAGTTTTTCTGATAGGGACAGACATATTGGGAGTAAATATCAGAGGAATAGATGCCTTACTTACATAAATAGTCCAAGTAGAAGTCCTCTTTCCTGAGTTTGAAGATACAGGAAGAAGACGGTCACTGCTAAAAACAATACAAAAAAACATGGAGCCAGCCAGCAAAAAGAACAGACTAAACTGGGAAGCTGAATGTGTCTTGCCAGTGGTTGGGTGTTACCCTGACAGATTTGAATTCTTCACATTAAGAGTCTTTAGAACCAGCTCAGAGAGGAGCGCAGGAAGACCAGAGAGAAGCAGAGGACAGAGAGCGTTCTGCAGAAAGTCCTGAATGTTAAGATTCCCGATCCTCCCTCTGTCTCCTCTGTCATTAGAGTTCTATAAATAAAAGCTGGTGAGACAGAGGAAACACAGGAGAAGCCGAAAGGCTGCAGTTCCAGAGGAAACGCACTCTGTGCTGTAGTAACATCCGTAGAAAGCAAACGTCTGCAATGGGATCGGAACACAAAGGAATCGAGGTCTGATCTGCCAGGTTCCTGTTTCAGTTGATTGAAGAGTTCAAAACCTATGATCAACATCAACAAAACAGACGGCTGCTGGCTGATGGTCACTTCCTCTGTTCGGTTTCACAGAGATATGTTTCAGTATAATCACAGTCTAATTCACCCCCCTGATGTCAGCAGCTCTATCCATTCCCACGATAGTGTTTGATATCATAATAAGCTTTATATCTATTTAACCTTCAGATCCCGTTTAAAAATCAACTCATGTCATTCTCTCTACCAGGGGAGCAGCCAGGTCTCTGATTCAGGTGTTTTTCTCTGATCTTTCATTAAATAAAGTCACAGTGGTTTAAGTAAAGTTGAAGAAAGTTACTGAACCAGACTGCAGCTCACTGCTTGCTCCATTGGTGCATGAGCTGCTGAACCTGTCTCCTCTGACCACTGACACTCTTAAGGTATCCATGAGTCTTTAGATATCCGACAGAGACCCGAGAGGCACTCAGTCTCCTGTAGACGGGGGCTAGTAGGGGCGGGAGTGGGCCATCATCCTCAGCCGCGACTGGTCGATGACGTCCAACAGGTTCTTGGCATCGACGGCGAGAGCGTGAGCCGCCGTCAGCATCTGCTTCTTGTAATCTTGCTGAAGACTAAGATTAAAAAGCAAATAAGGGTTCTTTTATTATAAAATAAATATGCACGCTGCAAAAAAGAGAAACATTTTTAAATATCATATTTACAGAAAATAAAGTGAGCAAAGGTTGCTTGGCTAAATATTCATTTAATACATTTCTTCTATTGAGAACGAGTTAAGTGACCAAACTCTTTAAATAGGAAAAATAAACATATTTCTTCTTCTAGCATTTCAAGCTGAAATATCTCATTAAGAAAATGTAGAAATACATTTTAAGAATAAGAACAAGTTTTATTTTCTTGCACAAAACTTGTCTTGTCTCTCAGTTTTCTTTTAAGACAAAAATAAGAAAAATATCATTAAAAAGGGCTTTCCTTTACCGTCTTGAAAATCAGGCTGGATAAACGGAGCACGTCTTAGAAGTTAGTATATAACAAGTCTCAAATTTATTTATTTCCTTCAGAGGTAAAAAAAAAATGATCATACAGCAAACCATTTCAATCAGTTAAAAGAAAAATGCAAAACATGTCCTGCATTACCATAAACTATTTCTACAGTCCACTATTAGGACAGCTCATCAGCAACATGAGCTACAGAGATGCTGATCATAGAAATATCCTCCAGATTTCAGCACCTTTCAAGGTTGACTGAGGTTCTCCCACATGGACAGTCAAGTTATGTTCTGGACAAAAAGGTCTGTGTTATCAAAAACACAAAGAATGCACAACAAGGAGGAGGGGATGCATGGAAGATTTAAACCTAATTTACCACCTGTAATGCATTGGGGTGGCTCCATCATTCTGAGGGTTTTTCAACATGGCTCAAATGGTGGAATAAAAGAACCGGAGGAATATTACTAATGAATCGGACTCTAACCCTGTTTATCACGTCAACAATTAGAGGGGTAACAACATTTATAAACCAAATCAGATCAAAACCCAAGCAGAAATATTCTTTTAACATACAAAAAAAAAAATTGGTTGTTTCTCTGCAGCTTGAATTTCACCAATTAGAAAATAAGTTCCATTTGGTTTGAAGAATATGGTGACATTTATTATCACTCCTAAAATAACAGCTCTGCAAACAGAATCTCAGAGTCTGGGGCTTATTGGAGGCAAAGTGGTACCGAAGTGGCCAATCATTTTCATGTCTTTTGGGATTGTCCAAAAATACAACCATACTGGAGGGAAGTAACCAGTGAAATATTTAAGATTATGGGAATGAAATTGGACCATTCCTTTATTACATTGTATATATGCAAAATGCCAGAAACTGTTCCTCATAAACACAAATATCCGCTAAAGATCCTTCTGATGTGTAGAAAAAAGGCTATAAGCTGGTGATGGCTACAAACTGACTCTAACATTACACCAGTGGAGGGGGAGAGTGAAAGAAATCTAGAATATGGAGAGACCGACTTATATCTGGAGACTGGAACAGGAGAAATGTGTTGAAAGCTGGGAAAAATGGATGATTTATAGCCTGGGTGCCATTCCGAACTTAGTCCCGCCCACAAAATTTGAGGTCGGGAAGTTCAGGTCTGGCATTGCTCAATAGTAGCGGGAGTATGCTCGCACAATATCTGGCCGGCCAATCAAATAGTCAGGGCGGGCTTTATACGATGATGGACAGATGATTAACAGGAACGTAATCAACCACGTGACCAAAGCGCGCTTGGGTGACAACAACAATGGCTGCCGCTGGAGAGTTGAGGTGTGTAGATTCTGCTATTAGGTCTGTTCTAGAAGATATCGACAGCAAATTAATTTTAAAAAAGGAACAGAGAAACGCGATCAAGGCATTTGTTGAAAAGAAAGATGTTTTTGGCGTCCTTCCTACGGGATTCGGCAAAAGTTTAATTTATCAGCTGGCTCCCTTGGTCGCTTAACATACGTCACGCACTCCGTTGCTCTTATTGGTTGTAGGTCTATCCAATTGAGTGCAGAGGCATTTTTTTTTCCTGGTTCGTTCGAAACACGCCCCATAATCACAGCTCTATGGAGCAGTATCAGACTCATATTCTGACTAGAATTGAGTCGGACTACGTCAGGCTAGAAGATTTATGCTCTAAACCTGGAATAGTGACACAATAACATGATGTAGGGAAAATAACGAGCTGTGACCCCATAATGTTATACCCATGAAAATATTATCATTTTTTTCCTCCTTTATATATATATATCCAAAATAAAAAGTAAAAAAAAAAAAAACAAAGAAAATAAGTTCTGTCTGTATGTAAATGCACATTGAGTAACCTGGAATATTTCCATTTTCTTACATGCTTTTGTATTTTATAAAAAATATAGTAAAAGCTTGTCTGATCAGAAAACAGAAGTGGATCTTCTTTCCATTCATGTTTCGTTGGCCTTACCTCGTCATCACATATTGTTGGGCTAACTTCATCTTTCCAATCAGCTCTGCCAGGTCAGAGTTCAGCAGCTTCTGGGCCATCTCGATCTGTTAAAGGCAGCAGAGTGTTAAAACAAGCTACCCAAAGGTAACTTTCAGTGTGCTTGTGTTTGTGTTTGCACCTCTCTGTGCGTGCTGGCTGGAAGTTGAGGTAGAGTCTCGTCGACCGTGGCTAATAACGTCCTCAGAGCTAGACCCACATCCTGAACCACAGAAAACACACAGACTATGTAAATAATATAAACTTTTGACACTTTTGATAAAATACTGGTTGAAATTATCATAGCTCGCTGTTTGCAAAACACTGTGTTGCCAATGTAAATCTTGTAAATGTAAATACGTAGAAACTACTGGGGAATATTGAGTCACTAGACAACCCCTAGTGAAACGAAAATACTTTTAATGCATCTAAAAATATTGTGATTATTTGTCAAAACTTGACGTCTCAAGAGGAACTGACTGAAGAAGTGAAACGTGTAGATGGTCATTTACCTTGACCATTGGGACGTATTCTTCTGGAGGAGCTGGCTGAATCTTGCTCGACATCTCGATCACAGCTTTAACCAAACCAGTCACATTCTCATACACTTTGTCATTTGAGCGATCCAGATTGGCTGTGGGGGGAGGGCTTATCTCCTGAGGCTGCAGCTAAACGTCAAAAAGACAAACAATAATGAGCAAAGAAATGTCACCGTTATCTGAAAGAGGGTAAAATGAGGAAAAAACAAGCTGAGACACAAAACAATGGTCTCTGATGAGTTGGGATGTTTGACAGGAAAAACTGATGGTCTTCAAGGTTGAATAATAAACAGTTTCAGGTATAAAACAAAGATCTGAAGGACGCAGAGAAAGCTTACAGAGAACAAATCTCTTAATACTGCGTGAGGTAACCTGACTTCATGGATATGTTTTCTAAACTCATTTCTAAACATTACAAATATTTCAATGTAAAATATTTTTTTTCCCCACACTTATTAGATTAGACTATTTCAGTATTTAAAATAACATTCTGTACATTTTACTGCAAAATATTAACCTCAAGACTGTTTTAACAGCAGTTTTAATAGGTTTGAAAAAAAAAAATGTTAATTTTGATGTTGGTATTTTGGAAACTGCTACTTCAAGGCTTCAGCTGAACCTAAAGGGAGCAGCTTTATTTCTAAATCTGGAACAGCTGGACGTGTCAAATAAAGGCTGGACAGTCCCAGAGACTAAAATGCATTTGGAGTGCCCATTTTGCCATTTTAGACTTAAAGGAATAGTACACCCAAAACATGATTAGCCTTCATTTTCTACTCACCCCCATGCTGAACAACACTCTGGAGTACTTTTTTGATATCTCAAATGCATCTGGAGATCTGGGAGGCTTCTTGCTGTCTGCTGACATTCAAATAATGGAGGTCTATGGTGACCGAGACAGAAAGGTCCATAAAAGTCCACAAAATCGTGTCAATATTCCTCCATACTGCTCGTCCAATGTATTCCAAGTGTCCTGAGTGGGTAGCATCCAGAATTTACTCGAAACGAAGTCATTTAGAATGTTTTTAGAGCATAAACAGTAGTGTATAGGATTTCCTAAAAGCGCGTTCACGAGTCTACGGAAACCGCGGCAGACCAAACCAGATGAAAGTGCGCATTCAGCTCGGCAAAGAACTCATGCTCTTCCTCAACACTGAAGTCCTCAAACATTTTTCTTTCGTTGTTTCTTTCTTTGCACAGGTAAACAGCACATTTCTTCTTCTACGCTTGCATTATCGGCAGAGCAGACGCTGAATGCGCACTTTCGTCTGGTTTGGTCTGCCGGCTTCCGTAGCGTCATGAACGCGCTTTTAGGAAATCCTATACACTACTGTTTATGCTCTAAAAACATTCTAAATGACTTCGTTTCGAGTAAATTCTGGATGCTACCCACTCAGGACACTTGGAATACATTGGACGAGCAGTATGGAGGAATATTGACACGTTTTTTGTGGACTTTTATGGACCTTTCTGCCTCGGGCGCTGGGGACCTTCATTATTTGAATGTCAGCAGACAGCAAGAAGCCTCCCAGATCTCCAGATGCATTTGAGATATCAAAAAAGTACTCCAGATTGTTGTTCAGCATGGGGGTGAGTAGAAAATGTAGGCTAATCATGTTTTGGGTGTACTATTCCTTTAAGCTTCAGCTCAGCACAGACTTGGCATTTTCTATAGACCAAGGACGAAGCAAATGGCTTTTCTTTTTTTTTTATTGAGTTGGCATTTAGAGGTTAAAATGTTAAAATCAAGGTATGTGGAATCAAACATAAAGCAGATCAATTTACCATACATCCGTGTGAAAATGGATGCCCTTATTCATTAATATTAAAAGTACATCTTTCTGGAAGGTAAAGAGTAAAACAAGTATCATATGTTACTGTGCCTATTAACACTTGAAAAACAATTAAAACCACAAACTTTGACACTCTTTAAGACGTTGAAATAAAACCCTGCACAAAGATTTGTTCTACTCATAACATTAAAAACCAAACAAAATATTGTTTGCAGCTTTGTTACTGTGAGCAGCTTCTATTCAGACATTAGTTAGAGCACAGGCTGCATTGCACCGTTTATGAGACACAGAGGGGGCGGCAAATCAGAGTTTAAGTAATATTCTTAAAAAAACAGTTGTTAAAAATTTAAATATTTATAGTAATCAAAGAAAAATATAAATATTTAAATGTTAAACTTTTAATCTTCAGTGAGGGCTAAATTGTTGTAGGTTAAAAAAAATCCTATAATGTAAAAAGTTAGGTACAACAAAACCCTTTTAATAATCTTATTGTTTTTAGCATCCAAAATGATATAGAATAAATCAGATCCCTAAATAATTAACAAACAGGATGCCGTTCTTTTATTTAGGCAAAAATTCAAAGACCTTTTTTAATTTTTCATCAATGATAAAAAAAAAAATCCATTCCCAACAGAACAAATGAATAAATCAGACTACTTCATTGAATCATATTATGGAAAACAACACAACTATTGGCGAAGTAGGTAAAAATGTTCTATTTGTGGGGATCTATTTGGTCTATTAGATGTTTAGGGCTCACTTTTTGATTTTGGACACCTCTGCTGTATGGTCTCAGACACACGACAGCCACTAGATGGCAGTATCACATTAGGTTTGCATCCTGAAATTGAATCGAAATCCCTGCAGCTTTAAAACTGTTGGTTTGCAGATAATGCAGTTCTTCTGGTTTTTACTGACTACCTGTAATTACAAACATTTAGTTAAAGTATTTCCTGCTGTTTAAGCGTCTTTCAGAGTTAATCCTCATTTAACATTTTCATGCTTTTACACTTTTTCAGTGTTTACTTCACAACTTTTTGGCTGCGAAATGAAGTGAAGAAAGTGTTTTTGAAAAAACTGGTCTTTTTATGAGGGATTCCCCGCTGAAAAAAAACCTCATGAATGCAAGGGTTTGTCTTACAAGAAAGAAAAAGGCAATAAGAAGAGAGCTCTTTTTCAACACATTCTGGCCAAAGAAGCATTTTAACTAAGGATTGATTAGTTCAGATTCACGGACATGAAGGTTAGTTTAGGGAGTAAATGAAACAACAGCAAAAATTACACTAAAAACTAGATCCCATTACAGCAAGCAATGGAATCCATGTGCTATTTGTTAATAATCCAGGATGTGACTGAATGGACAGAGAAGAGAGACAAGACATACGATAAACAAACACAGAGCATGCGCTGCTTACCCGCCAAGGCTAGGGGTCAACAGTAAGGAGGAGTGCAGGAGGAGGAGAGGGAAGGGAGAGACGCAGCAGCCAAAGATAAGATAAAAAAAAGGAAAACATTAACAGTGGTCAGCATTAAAAACATGCAATGTGTATATTTGGTAGGTTTGTTTTCATCTTGCATGTGTGCATGCTGCTGTGGTCATACAAGAGAAGGAACGTCATGCATTTCTGTTTTATTTCTGCACCTTGACGCCATCATTGTAGCTGTCTCCAGTGTTTAGACAAGCCAGACTACCCAGCTGGCTCTGGGCCCCTGGTCGAGGAGGCTTTTTGGGGGGGACCACATGCTCTGCCAAGACAAACAAATAAAGTTCATCAGAAGTTAGAGCACAAAATTTAAATCTAGGAGCTAACAAAAGGGAGCTATAGCTCAAACTGTTAAATAACGGGCACTGTTCAGAGACATATCTGAGCATATGAAGTCACAGAACTCTGCCGTGCAAAATTATTTACACCCTGAGTCTTACTGCAATATTTTGCAATGACAAACATTGATGCTTTTTGTTAGTATTTATTTTTTTTTATCAGAAAAGAAAGTAATTTACTGAAGACAGAAAAAAAAAGTGTGTTGTGCATTTGTATTAAGCTCCCCTGCATTAACACTCTGTGGAACAACCTTTCATTGGAGGCAATTAGCCCGGCGTCTGTGAGCATCATTGTTTCCACAGCCACATGTTCTGAACAGGTTTTGCCCAGGCCTCACAGTGGTTCTGGCTGGACTGCACCATGACAGGTTTGATCCACCTTTCCATCAACTTTGTCCTGCTTTCCTCTCCCCCCCCCAAAAAAAAAAATAAAGCTTCCACACAAAATGATGTTTTTGTGGATACTCAGAAGCATTTAGCATCCAGCTTAACTCAGACAACAATTAAAACCTCCACGTAAGGTGAATAAAGAACAAACTTGTCAAGTACGAGTGTGAGCTACGGGAAGAGGCAGAAGAGTGCTGCAGTTCTGTGTTTTGGCCACAGATGGCGGTATCATTAGAAAACTCTGTAAGGCCTCTGTAAGCAGTAGAAAAATTAATATTTGGACTCAAAAGAGACTCTCACCTAAGCGGGAGACTCTGCAGCTCCTCACATGTATTTATAAAACATATAAAATCAATGCATCTCTTTTGTTCTCTGAGAGTGACTACAGACCAACTGTGACTCTTCAACCACTCCACAGTGCTCGTACTCGTACTCGTCGTCTCCCGCTTTATCCGGAACCGGGTCGCGGGGGCAGCAGACTAAGCAGAGACTCCCAGACTTCCCTCTCCGCAGACACCTCCTCCAGCTCTGCTGGGGGAAGCCCTAGGCGCTCCCAGGCCAGCCGAGAGACGTCGTCTCTCCAACGTGTCCTGGGTCGTCCCCTGGGCCTCCTCCCAGTGGGACGTCCCTGGAACACCTCCTGAGGGAGGCGTCCAGGGGGCATCCGAAGAAGATGTCCGAGCCACCTCAACTGACTCCTCTCGATGTGGAGGAGAACCGGCTCTACACTGAGCCTCTCCCGAATGACCGAGCTCCTCACCCTATCTCTAAGGGAGAGCCCAGCCACCCTGCGGAGGAAGCTCATTTCAGCCGCTTGTATCCGGGATCTCGTTCTTTCGCTCATGATCCAAATTTCATGACCATAGGTGAGGGTAGGAACGTAGACCGAACGGTAAATTGAGAGCTTTGCCTTTTCGCTCAGCTCTCTCTTCACCACGACAGACCGGTGCAGCGTCCGCATTATTGCAGCAGCCGCACCGATCCGTCTATCCATCTCCCGCTCCATTCTTCCCTCACTCGTGAACAGGACCCCAAGATACTTGAACTCCTCCACTTGAGGCAGGGACTCTCCTCGAACCTGAAGGGGACAAGCCACCTTTTTCCGGTCGAGAACCATGGCCTCGGACTTGGAGGAGCTGATTCTCATCCCGGCCGCTTCACACTCGGCTGCGAACCGCCCCAGCGCACGCTGTAGCGCACGCTGTTCCAGGGGCCACTCCACAGTGGCCCCTGGAAATTAACTTAAAGGTACGATGAAGTTTGGTTTCAGCTGACAGAACCTAGCCTATTTTTTTCCTTTCATTCAGACCATTAATATTTTCCACTGATGACTATCTGCATTACATTGCTTGTTAGAATAACCACTGGACTTCACTGAAAAGACTGAAACTGACATCTTGAAGTCATGGTGTATTTTTCCAGTCCTAAAAAAAAATATTCTAAATAGCACACATTTATAAACTCTAGTAATCTTTATTATTCCCTTAAGGATCAATGGCAGAGTTTTTTATTGGGGCGGATCAATCTGCTGTTAGGGGTGGTGAAAAACTGATGGGCACCAAAGTCAGTTCCAGGTCAATCTACAACACTGATTCCCAAATACTGACAAAGCATATTTGTGTGTTGAAAGATATAAAAGCATTCAATAGAACCAAATACATTGTTGGTGCCGTTTCTATTACTATTATACCTATGGTTGATATAGTTTATTAAAATACTTGTATTAGAACCAATATTTTGGGTCAAGCATCCATTCTAGTTTTATTGTGTGTTTTGGAAGCCAAATAGTTCGGCACTAATAGGGAAATAAAAGAGCACAACATCTGCAATACAGTAGTAATAATCTAATCACCTGTAAATACATTTATGAATAATAATAATTGTTCTAGAGTTGTTCTGTATCTTGAACTCCATTGAAGAATCCTAGATGACTTGCTGTGTTATAACTTTTCCCTTCTCCTCCAAAATAAACAACTGCCTCTAAAAACAGCATTAATTCTGTATTTGTAATATTTAATGTTAGTATAGGCCTATTAATCTTAATTATTAATTGTTGTATTTTTGTTTTCAGCCTATCATTCATAAACTAACAATTAAATTGTCAAATTAGTTAAGATATTCCACTTAAGAGCATCACTGCTGCTCCATCTGGTTTAGATGGGAACTGTTTTCCAAAGTTGATGTATTATGTCCATATGGGAATAACAGTTCACCAGGTAGGGGTGGCCACTGATTAGCCAGCCACCCCCTCGCTCCTCTACCGATGAGCCTCAAATACGCTTCGCATCTAATTCATTCATTCAGCAGAGCAAGGAACACCATGGGTCTTTAGACTGTAATGGTTGCTGACCCCTGATCAGTTTGTTGTGGTAATGTGAAAAAAGCAACATTTTTAGTGGGGCTCCATATGGTTGGAGCTGGAGGAGAAAATTTGAACAATAGCGGTTAACTGAATTAAAGAAGCTTCCCCATTACCTGATTTGCCAACAGGCTGGTAAATGTGCTGGTTTCCTGTCTGCAAAACAAACAACACATCGGGTTAGCTCATGGACTGTCACAGACATAATAAGAGGCTCTGCAGGAAATTAAAAAAAGCACTGGCCAAAACCAGCAACGTCTGAAGGAGCAGAGAATCCAGTTTCATGTTCATCACATTTAATGAGACTCAACTTTGGTGATTTACAAATCAGATTCAGCAAAAAGTGAACACTTTCCTAAAACTAAAACATTAAAATTAAAACCATTTAAGATGCTTTTCTTTTTGAATTTGGTGGCTTTGTTTTCTCGGAATGAGAAATTAGAGCTTCTAAAGTTCTGGTGCCAACAGAAAGCTGAGGTTCGACAAACACCAACACCCAAAAATACTACGCCACGGGCAATTTACACAGACGCACAAAAAAAAAAAAAGGAAAAAAAACAGAGAGGTTTTCCCACCACAAGCCACAATCATTCAATGGGAGGAGGAGGAGGACAAGCAGAGAGATGAATTACAGAGACAGAAATATCATTAGGCTGCTCTATGACAACTTCTGCTGGGAACGAACACAGAAAGCACAGCTGGGTTCAGCTCTGCTCGTCAAAAATCCAGCAAATAGAACAAAGAGACGTTAACTGGACACGGATCAAATGTTAAGACGGGTTTTAGAAACCAAACTACAAACTGGAGCAGAGAGGAAGGATTTTAGCTGTATTATCAGAGAGGCACCACCAGCTTATCAATAGTCTATTTAATTAAACCCGTCCTCTGTCATTTGCTTTGATTCATTTCCTTTAACTCACCTAAATGACAGCATTTAACTACCTTCAGAAACAAGATCAGAGTCTCAAAATTCTCAGAAGAATTTATAAGAGTCAATATAATTATGAATTTACCATATGTTGTTTCTAAACGTTTGTAACTTTCTTACTGTCATTAACAAAGTCCATCAGAGTTTAAACTAATTTCTCATTTAAAAGCTCTGCATCTTCCAGACAGTTTGGGACATTTTTTACTTAATAGCATTTACCCTCCTTTAACTTTTTACCTATATGTTCCTAAAGAAATGAAAAGACTACAAAAAAACTCTTAATATGTAAGCATTGCTAACTGCTGTTTACAGATCGCTATGGCCAAAGTATTTGCTCTAAAGATACTTTGACAATCTGAGGTTTGCATTTTAACTCAAACCTTCAGCCTGAGAAATGGCAGCATAACCCATGCAGATAGAGAGAGAGAAAGCAGAGCTCTTTTCCTGTTAACCCTTCTATTAATATCTAGTGATGCTGTGAGAACACATTGACCCTGCATTGCTGACCCTCCCCCGTGAGGTCACTTCCTGCTCCTGGATCGATCCCCTCAGCTCAATTCAAAACCAACACTCAGCAGCAGACTCCATTCTCTGAGAAGGTGTTACTTTAATTACCATTTCTTTATAAATCATAGCTTAGAAAGGGACACTTAAATGGTTTAGATGATCAGCATATATGAGGCGGATCAGACTCAGCAGACTAACAACAAATGAGAGCAGCCTAGACAGAAACAAATGGAAATAAAGAGAGCTAGAAGTTACTCACTGGTGGCTGGAGTCCACTTTCTTCTGTTTCCAAGCTTCCTCTAGAGCTCCTTGGGTCTGGTTTCTAAAACAGACCAAGTCATCAGAAACTTTAGGTCTCTTTTTATCAACAATAGTTAAATCTAAAGTTTCAACAACACAGCTTTCAACATCATTAATGTTAAAAAGTTAAATTAAGTTGTTTCTTTTTTTTGGATGAGCAGCGAGTCACATTGCTGTGCAGCTTGGGACTCAAACTAAAAACCGTTTTTATTCTTGGAATATGCCCTGAGAGGAATCCACATAACGACCCGGCTATCAGCTTAGGATCCAGCATGACAACCTTCAGCACACAAAGGCTCAAATGAAAACGAAACCATTATGCAGAGAGCAACAGAATCTAAGAAGGTTCAAGATGCTCAGATAAAAATTAAACCCCCAAACCCTCCCATCCGCTATCTTCTCACATGTACGTCCTTGCATACCAGCTTTCCAAGACAGGACTTGAAGACCAGCATTGCCCTGAAGTTCATTAAAAGTTTCCAGATGAATCGATTGGGTCCGGATGATCGGATCGTTTTGCTTCTGTCCTTATCTTATAATTTCACAGAATTGGTCTTAAAGTGTCCATTTTCCTTTCCGTTCCTGCAGCTTTGTCTGATTCAGCTTCTGCTTTCTGCCTAAAACACACTTCTGCATGACTCCAAGACAGGGAAAGAAGGAGGGAAAGAACCAGGAGGAGGGTATCTGCTGCCAACCGCAGTTCTCCCTCTCTCCTCCCCTCTCACTCATAACAGCGTTATAAAAACAGGCCAGTCAACGGAAAAAAGAAAAAAAAACTTTCTCATCTGCACGCTCCCCCTACACACACACACACACAATCTGATGCCTCCTCAGCTTTTCAGTAATCTTCTGTGTTGTCGGTTTGTGGTTGTGGGTCAAAGACAGACTGTTGACTGGCCTGTCAGAGTCGGTAAGCCTATCATTAAGCCAGGAATTCACACAGGCCACACCTGCCTCCAAACTCTCTCACAAACAATAAAATACTTATGCAAAAAAAAAAAAAACCGACAGCTACTTCTATCCACAGAAATATGCAAGAAACATGAAACATCCTTCCTCCCACCAACCTCGTCTTTCCGCTCAAGTCTATCCTAATTACTAACACCTCTCTGTGCATTCAGTTTTATATAAAAAAAAACACATTATTCTACTAGTTATGTTTTATTGTGAAACAAAAAAAATCCCATTGAGCAAAATGTTTCATACGAAGATGTAACATCTGCCAGTTAGACTGTAATACATTTGTGTTGATCAATAAACGCTTCAGTGAGGCTACAGTTAAAAGATGAATACGAAACAAGGAAGCTGGCAAAGGCAGGATGGGAAATAAAACTTAGAGAGCAATGAATGTTAATCTATGATGGAGCTTAATGTTATAGGAGGTCTGTGCTGTGAAGCCAGAAAACATTTTGGCGACACTTTAGTCCTCTGACATAACTGCAGCCTGAAAACCTCCAAGTAAAATCTAGCTACATCCAGCCCTTTGACTTCCTACAACTGAGCCTTCGAAAGCCCCCCTGTTGCTTCTGTATTAAGGCTGCTACATTAGCTCTCTGATGCATGTATCACTGTTAGCTCAGGCTAAAAGAAGAAACTGACAGAGAGGGATGAGTTTGACTCTCTAAAAACATTTGATCATCATCAGTGTAGAAATGCCATATAATGAGCACACTTCGCTTGTTGATCAGTTATTTAGCTTGCTGGATGGAGTCTAAACCCAGTAGATGCCAACACCCGACGCAGGCAATGGAAACCAACATACACATTCCTATTCCGGTCATAGTTACAACTTTTTTTTATTCAAAACTTTACATTTTTCAAAAGAACTGTATCAACAGAACAGCTAGAGTGATGCAAAATACATTTTACTGAAGATAAAAAGCAATATACATAATTATTCTACAAGTTTTGATAGGTCCAAACTATAAGGTCACTTTGTTCTCATTACAATGCCAAGTTTGACATTAGAGGATTCTGCACCAATAGGACTAGTAGGCTTAAGCCATGTTAGGTGGATCTCAGCAATTTCCAAATACTAGCAGCTTCATGAGAGAGTTTACAAAATAACTCTTTTTAAGCAGATGAGCATCAAGCTTTTCAGCTTTGGTGCCAACTTCAGGGTATATAAGAGGATTTTTCGCACATTTTTGAAAAGACCTGCCCTCTCAGATGGGGCATGGAGGTTAAAGATTTAAGTCTGAAATGTGAAGTTAAATGTATGGTTTGCATTAATTAGTAACGGACTTGGCAACTGGCTGGAAGGGAGTGGGTAACTTCAGCCTTGATAAGTTAAACTTGTAGTTATCATCTATAAACATCCATTTACTAAAGTCAAGGGTGAAGCTGCTTAACTTATAAACTGAGCGTTAACCTAAACAGATAAAGTATCAATGCTCTACATCGGAGATCTTCAACAGGGGGTCCACGGAGGTACTGCATGGGGGTCGCAAAAGTTTTGGTTGATTTTTTATATATATTTTCCCCTGCAATTTTTTTCACTAATCTTTAAATCCACATTGACATGAATTCAACACACTGTAGTAAACAGATAAATGGAAGCGGAAGATGTCTTTCAGTCATCAATGCTCACATTCGCTGACACACAGGAGCTCTTTCAATATGGGCACCTTTTCATTCACAACACCTGTCCCATCAACTAGGAATCAGAATCGGAAATACTTTAATAATCCCAGGGGGAAATTACTTTGTTACATTACTCCATCTGTAATAGAGTGACTATAGGGCCAGTTTGATATAACACAATTTCATGCAATATATATAATCAGGGGGTCGCCGCTTCATCTCAGCATCAGTTCGGGGGTCCTTGGCCAGGAAAACGTTGAAGACACCTGCTCTACGTATCAAACAAGATCCTGGTTTTGCTACTTTAACATAAACTCAAGCAGTATTTCTACATGATCTGCCAAAGCCAAATATCTGAAATTGTTTTAATCTGTGTGGCACAGGATCTGCTGAGGCATTACAGGGCAGGATAACTCACAACACAGGTGTTTCTGAGTGAGTTTTCAGCACAGAGACCATTTTTTTAATGATTACATAAAAGAACTCACATGAAAATGTAAAATAAATAAATAAAAGAAACAAAAAACTGCAGCTTCACTTTAAAATAGCACCCCATAGACCCAGTTTACACAGTAAATCAGCAAAAAAAAGATGAGGGGGAAACACCTTCTTAGTCGTTATCACCTTTCACCATGCCTCATATACTGCTGAAAAATGATGTCTGTTAAATCCCCAAATCTGTATTTCATGGTAACAGCTAAAAGGCACATTACATGATCATTATGGAAATCTAAATAATTTATTTAGGACTTCCTTTATTCTTATTATTCGTTTCCATTCCTGCAAAAGAAAATCCCCAGTTGTGCTTATATTAGTGCAAATTCTAAGGCCACCCTTTAAAGAAAATAAATGATCCAATCCCTATTAAAACATACCCATAAACATTTTTTTTGTTAAATGTATTACTCATTACATGTGTAATAAAGTGACACACTGAAAACTAAATCAACTGTTACAAAAGTATGACAACATGCAGAAAGCAACTTAAAAAAGGAGGATGACGTCTTTGAGAAATGTGGCATGCAGGAAATTCCAAAAATAAACGGAGCACATCAGAGATGATAAATGGGATGTTGTGACTTGCATGGTTGATTAAAATCGCTAACCTTGCAGATAAACTGAGTCATCTTTTGAACATGTCGGTTATACAGGAATAAAACCTAAGTTTTAAATTTATTTCAGCCATCTAATTTTCTTCATATACTTAAGAGACTTGTTGTTTGCTTTGACATCATGTCTTTAAAGTCAGAAACTCAGCTCCACCTCAGTTTTTAGTTTTAAACACCCCTTTTGAGGTTGTTTCCTGCGCTTACTAAAATGTACTCCAGTTTAACCTAATTACCATGGATGAGATATCCTATAATTTACTATAATAGGATATGACTGAACCATGGGCTGTCAACATGACAAATATAAAAAATATCACTTCAAGATAGCATTTTGGTACAAACCAAGCAGCACATAGACTTATGTCCAAAAACGATTTTTAATTTTATTGCTATTGTCTGATTATGCTAATCAGACATATGGTTAGACTAATTGGGGACTTTCAAGTATGACTAAAAAATTTTCTCAGCTTAGTAAGAAGATCATCAATGATATAAAAGTAGGTCTGGTTAAGCTAAAGTAAAACTTTCAGATCAAAATAAGCTGTAACAACTATCTAGCATGGCGATGGCAGCATCATGCTGTTCGGCTGTTTTCCACTGGTGCTGCTAGTGCATTGCACATGAGGAAGGAATGACTAAATTCTTCAATTTGTTTCAAATCAATAGATGGATTGAACAGGAACCCAACTAGGAATATGAACAACAACAATAAAGCTGCTTTCTGAATGAATATTACATTTCTGACTCAAAAACAGAATCTGTGAAAGCTTATCATTTCTTCTCAAATAACCTTTATTCTGTCCGTGAGTGAAAGATGTGAGCTAAAAACCTAAATCTGGACGGTTGGTGACCATTGCGCCTCGTATAATTGTGAAGCTCTTGTGTTAAACGTGTCAGGTGGGCCCCTGGTGCATGTTCCACAGTGTGTTTTACCAGCAGCCTCTCCTCCTCTTCTAGCCACCTCTGATCCTCCTCCATCTGCTGCTGCTGTATCATCAGCTGCTCCTCCATTAACAGGCACTGCTGGCCTACACACTGCTGCATGTCTATTGCCCTGTCCTACACACAGACACAAATACACAAAATGTGCAACAAACGACAAGCATGCATAGCCACAAAGTGTAAACGGGAAAAAAAAAAAAAAACATGCATTCACCCGACAACAACAACGCATACAGACAGATAGAAAAAAGATTTATGAGAAACTGAGCTGGGATGATGGATGGACACACATAAAAAAATAAGAAAGAAAATATGGATGGGAACAGGGCGGTGATTTGTAGCAGAATATACATTTGTAATCTGGAACACCAATCTGGTTCTTTGTGGTGTACGGGCAGCAATTTTTCACCAGGAAAAGGGTCAGCTTTATAATTCGTTTCACATTTTCCCCAATCAGACAGATTTATGATTAACCTATTGGGATTACTGTAACGTTAAGACTTCTTACCTCCACTACCGAGCCCCCAAGTGCCATGGACAACCCATGCTGCTGAGGAAGCAACTGTGTGTGTGAGTGTGTGTGGACGTGGTGGCGAGGGTGTGTGTGTGCGTGGTGTGTGTCCACCATAGCGGCCTGTGGAGGGTACAGGGCGCTGGGAACAGAGGGGAGGGTGTGTGGGCCTGGATATGCTGCCATCTAACACCAGGAGGGAGAAAATAAAAAACAGATTACTTGGTTTCAGCTCTATCTAAAGAAAAAAGAAAAAAGGAAAGAAAAATCACACACTTCAGACAAGTAAAGGAGTCAAAGCTGTCTACGCACCTGATAGTGTCCAGGGTGCTGTGGACTGGGGTAGAAACCTTCACTGGAGCGGGGACTGGGGTAGCCTGGTCTACTTGGCTAAGAGACAGAAAGGGGGGAAAAAAACAATAGTCATTTTAAAAAGGACAGAAAAAAAAAAGTAGAAAAAGTAATGTCAGAAAGGGTGTAACCCTGGAGCGGGTTAATTCCTGAAATTAGAAGTTAGACCATTCAGAAAACCGACACACAAACCCCCAGCAGATGTTTGTGTGGTCATGTTAGCCGTCAGTCAAAACAGGGAGCACCCACAAGGCTGCAAATCCAGCAAGCTGTTAGTGAGACGGTCATAAAACACTGTTCCTGTGTTAACAAATAAAAACACTAGTGTTAGGTTATCGGATTAAAATAAGAGGTCTGGGGATTGGCTGGTTGATTTAGATTTAGGTTAGATGTGATGCAGGTGTGTCGCTGTTCACCAAAGACCTCTCAAGGCAGAATGATAGAATGCGTTAATAAACAATGGCTTTAATTCAACTGATAAAAAGCAATAAATAAAAAAAATCTGTGGATGCTTTTTAGGTTTCTAGTAGACAAGACGTTCAAGACTTTAGTTTATACAACTGCAGAACATTCAGCTAAAAACAGAAGTGCTTGGTGAACCCATAATGCTCAGTTATTTTAGCTGGTTTGAGATGAAGCTGAGGTTTCTTTTCTCATTTTACCAGAAGGTTTTATCTTTCTTACACAGAAACTGAGCTCATTTCTAACACATCAGTGTTGCAGCCTCTACCTTCCACAGCCTCTCACAGTAGCTGTTTCTGGACCACACCTCCGACAGCGAGACAGACACAAAGACACACAGGAAGGGTGACGTAGATAGCAATGCAAAACAAGGACAGAAAAACGGAGAAAAAAAGTTGGGGTACAGAGGAAGTAGACACCAAGACACTGAAAAAAAGACATAATGAGGCCTCCTGAAGTAGAGGATGTAGTTGGGACCACAACCTTTAATATGTCTTTCTTATGATCATATCAAATAGACCAACTCAAAGCAGAGCCTAATTGTTAGGAGAAAATAAAATAAAGCATTGGTTATAAATCGATTATAAATAATCAAAAGAATCAAGCTGTGTGTCAGTATTCAGCCCCATAAAAAAAAAAAAAAACTTCTTATGCACTGCAAAAACGATCTAGAAATAAGTAGAGGTTTCTTAAATTAAGTGTATTTCCCCTTAATTTGATTTTGTAAGTTATGTGATTTGCCATGGAAAGGAGTAATTTTACTCATTCATAAAATAACATAATAAGATAATATGCACTTGAAAAAAGACAATTCAAATGTTTTCTTCTTATTTTAATTGTAAATTGTCTTAATCCATTGGCAAAGTGTCTCTCTTACCTCCTTAACTCAAGAAGAGAAGCACTTATGTTAAAAAAAATTACTTATTTAGATATTAATTTTCTGCAGTGTGTAATTACAACTGCTAATTTTTTACAGTATGACAATTGAAGTTTTACACCTCTTGAGCCAATTGGTGTAGACGAACCAGTCAGGCTCCTTCTCTAAACTATACTCTCCTTCCCGCTCCTCCAGTATGAAAAGCCTCGTCTTGACTGATATTGCTTTAAACTCCAACCTCTCTGCTTCTCCACATCCTTCTCTCTGACCAATCTACTGTTCCTGGTCTTCATTAGAGTCTTTTTTCATCACTGTTTTCTAACAAACATCTCACAAACACACATTCTGCAGACGACTGGATGCTTTTTATGCCGTCAGCATTAAAGGAGCAGCATGTGCACGTGATAAAGGAATTCATTAATAAGAAATGTTTAAATCCTCTTCTTCACTTTCTAATTATGTGCTACTTTATGTTGAACTTCAGGATTTAAATATTAAAACTTTGTGCTTGTAAAGGGAAAAAAAAATACAAAGTTAAGGGGTGTGAATAATTTTCAAAAGAATTTTATATATATGATAAAGTAGATTGATCGTAGCAGAGGTCTTTGATCTCCATCATACTTTCATTTGTTAGATATTATTGTTAAATATTAGATTAATTTGTTAGATATTAGATATAATTTCATTTGATAGATTATATGTAAGAGAAGGTCAGAGCATTTTACTAAAGTGCATCAGAGTAAAGAAGGAGGAATGCAAAACCAAACCTAATTTATAAGGTTTTTATGCACAAATATTTTTGAATAGTATATTTGATTACTCTCCCATTACACGCACATATTGTACCTTTGAAATTGGCTATCCCATTAAATGATAACATAAGTTCAACTGTGTGGATTTAATGTCTCAAAATCTGTAAAATAGCTTCATATTTTAAGACCTGACTTATTTGTCAGTGTTATTTCTCAGGGAGGCAGCTTAGACAATAAAGACAAACAGGGTGACCAAAGCCAGTCTGAACTCACATCAGAGGGATACATAAAAAATTCTAATAATTTAGGATCCATTTAACATCAGCTTTAGGATTGTCTAAGCTGCAACACTAAAAACATAAGTAACAGCAACAGCTTTGAACTGTTGGACATTCACAGCTGCCTCCGTCTGCTTCTTCTTTGCTTGCAACCAGCAGCAATAAGTCAACGCAAGTACAGTGAAATAAATCTGTCTGGGAATTTTAAGTTTGTGCGTGTAAAAGAAAAGAAAACATTTGAAAATGTTGAAGATAAATCCTAACAGACCATTGAAAAATTCAACACAGCATAAAAACATGCATAAATTTGCCTCATGGGCTTTGCAGAATGAAGTGATTTAAAAGCAGCATGGTCTTAAAGGCTGCTAAGTTGGATTCCTGTGTTTTATGAACCTTTCATTGCACCAAACATGCCCTAAAACCGGCACATGGTTGTGTAACTCTTTACATATCTTTTAGGAATGCTGAGAAGCAGAAGTGTAATTAAGGTTTTGTTTTACTTCATGCATCTCTCAAGGGGACAGCTAGTCGACTTCAACAGAGACACATCCATCACCGCCAAGAGCAGCAGAGAGCCAGGCAAACATGCACTAGGAGCTCTAAAACAAGGACGCATCATGGCCGGTTTGAGCTGGAGAAGGCTGTGATGGCTTCCACTTTAAGCCAAACAGAAGCCTGACAGAAAGCAACTCATGATATTTTTTTTTTTTTTTTTTTCCCTCAGCCATCTTGGAAAAACAATCACTTTCCTGGTAAATCTATATCATACCAGTTTAACTCAGCTGATTTGTGCTTGGATGTTTCATGTGTGTTAAATAAGCACAGCGGATTTAGGGTTCATCACAAGCATCCTCAACAAGCCAGAAATAGGCCACAGCAATCTGACCAAGAATCTGACACAGATATAAATATGGATCACAATGGACAGATCATTTTAGCTGCATGTGTCTGATAAATAAGGAGTAAAACAAAAACAAAAAAAAACAGGTGGAGAGGACTTAGCTGGTTGGTTAATGAGGAGAAAACACATTGTTGTTGATGAGGTTGATTATACAAAATCAACAATGAGCCACAAAGCGCTGCAGCATTTTTCCATTTCGAGACTTGAATTGTAGCATTAAAATAATCTCATAAGTCAGGAAATAAAGCTTACAGTGTCTTCAGTTATAATTATTATAATTATTGTAATTATTGCTAATGAGCAGGTTTGGAGTCAAATAGGAAACAATTTTATGGATAAATAGAAATAAAGAAGTAAAATACAAAAAAAGACAAATCCTTTCTTTATCAATTTTTTTTATGACATTAGAGATTTTGTGTAATAAAACAAAACTAGAAAAAAATGTTGTTCTAGTTTTCAGATGTTTTTTTGCCAATTGCTCATTTAAAGTCTTCATTATACTCATTTCATAGCAAATACTTGCAAAGTATTTTACCTAATGTCACTGTAAAGAATCGTATTCTTTTCTTTTCTTCCCCCCCCCCCCAATGTTTATCTGGAGGCTTGTATTTAATCTTCCCTTTGCTGCTGAGATACCTGGATTTCCCCTCTAACAGTTATGTGATGCTCTGTCCTCTGCTAATACTGTAGCTGTCCCATCTTTAACCACATCAACAGTTGCAAGTCAGCAAAACAGAAAACTTTAAGCGCTGTTTATTCCATGATTCTATGATGAAAAAAACAGCGTTTAAAGTTTTCTGCTATTTTAATATTTATTTTTTATCTTTATTATATTGTATAGTTGGATGTGTGTATATATCATATAAAACTTTAACTAGAGCGTGTAACAAAAGTAATTTCCCTCTGGGATTATTAAAGTATTTCTGATTCTGAATATCCCGGTCATCAACAATGTCATTAATGGGTTTGTTTAAAAGGTGGGGAATTATTAGGATAATTATCACTGATGATGTGAGTTTATTATACCTTAATATTAGCTGCCTGTTGCGCGTCAGAACAAGACAGTTCCTCTGTACAGTTATAATCTTCATCTGTACGTTGCAAATATTTGGGAATGGAATGAAAGCTGTGTCCTTCAGCTAAGAAAAAAGTGTAATATGTCGGCTGGCTGGAGCCATGGATGTCTACTCATCTGCTAACGTGTATTATGTAATGATGTGATGATGTGGCAGACTGGAGATGTATAAAATGCCTTTTTAACTGTTAATCGGGGCCACTTCTTGAGAGGTGAGCCCGGAGGTGAGCAACTGCCTTCTATAAACTCTAAGCAACTTCCCTGATCTGAGTAAGTTTACAATTTCTATCAGAATCTGTTTTCATGTCTCCTGGTTATTTAATAAATATAAGTTATGAAGTGTTTTGTCCCGAGTGATCTCTTTTCAGGAAAAGAACCGGAGAAAAAGCTTCAAGGTGCATACATAGAGAGCTTATCTTAAACATTTATATAAACCTAGTAGAGTTTCCAAAATCTGCAAACAGACAACTAGTTAGCACTTTATGTCTGGTTGTGTTTTTTTTTTTTCTTTTTTCTAATTTGTCACATTAAATATTATTAAATGACACAATCATAAGTTGTAAAATGGAATAAATAGTTATTTTAGATAAAGTAATGTCTCCTTTAGATATTTTTCAGGCTCAAAAACACACATGGATTGGTTTTGTTATTTGAAAACTCTCTAGTTGAGTTAAACAGCTCACCACCTGCCTGAAATGGTCTGGGAAAAGCTCCTTTAGAAAACGGGATAGCTAACAGCATGTGGGGGGCAACAGGGAAGCTGGACGTTGGACTGGGAGAGCGAGGGCTGGTGGATGATAGATAACAGGATGCTGGGAAGACATTCTCAGTGTGGGAAGGGATGAGCTGGGAGCTCCAACCTGACTGCACAGCAGTGTACCCTGTCTGGGGGTCAGTGATGCTAGGATTAGTCTGGGATTCAGGGTCAAAGCTGGGGAATGGCAAAGCTTCAGGACTAGACGGGGAGCTGTGGTGCAGCCAGTCAAAAGTTGGATTGGAGTGGGAAAGTACTGGACGCCAAGGAGAGGAGTGGTTGCTGTTAGTTGGGGCATTCTTCTGGAGGCTCTCAGTGGATGGGATCCATGAGTGTGTGTCAGGTGAAAGGCAGACATCAGCATTGGTTTGGGGAAACCATAAAGGAGAAACATTCAATTCAGCTTTTAACTTTTCCTTAGACAAAGAGCTTTTATAGTGAAGTAGAGACGAGTCAGGCCCTAAGCTGGTAGAAGAGAAAAAGTGATGAGGAAACGTCAAAGGTAGTGAGGAGAGAGGAGGAGCAGGTGGGTGTGAGGAAGAGGAGGGAGATGATGGATGAGGGTTTCCAATGCAGAGGGAAAGCTGTGAGGCAAAGCGCTGCTTTTGTTGGTAGTGATGAAGAGAAGGAGCAGAAATACAATCCAGACTGAAGGTGGGCTGCAGGGACGGACGGTGGCTGGGCTGCAAACAGAGAGACAAAGGTAGAGCAGGTGGGAGGGGAAATAAATGGAGCCATGAAAAGCAGAGAGGTGCAGGCAGAAGAGATGCGGGGTGGATCAAAGTACAGACATGTTGGTGAATGTAACAAGCCGAGTCCTCGTAAGAACATGGCTAAATATGTAAAGAACCAGCTGACTAACTCACTTTACAAAGGATTTGCCTTCAGATGCAACCCGGGAAGAAGTAAAGAGATGCTGAAGTAGGTTAGGGTAAAGCAGCTGGAGCAGCAAAGTATGAGGTGAAGCAGTGAGAGGCCAGGTGTGAGGGGATCATTATGGAGTTTAAAACTGAAAACTGTTATTGCTAAATATAAATCCATCATTAAAACTGTAAACTACAAAAACAAGTAACTACAATTCAGTTCTCTGAGATAAAGCTTGCAAAATCAGGAGCTTTGCTCAAGAACAACAGGTATATCACACACAGCGTATGTCGGCGTCTTACTTTAGGTGGAGCTTCATCACATCCTCCTGAGTCCCAAGAGACGGTGACCTGCCGCCTCATCTCCATCCTGCTCCTCTCTTTCTGCTGGATCTTCTCCTCCTCTAATATCGTGCTGGAAGCAAAGAGGAAAAATAAATGAAGGCATTTAACAAACACAAGGCATCTGATCATCTATACACAGTATAGATGATCAGATACACTGCATGTAAACTAGAGCAGAAGGAGACAGTTTAGACTTTTCTAAACAGATCATTTTACTTTAATTGATTAATTCTCAGATTCCAATACAGAAACTTTGCAATCTTATAATATGCTGTTGGAACAAAAACATTACAATAGGGAGCAATAAAATGAAATGCAATTTCTAGCTTGGAAGTATAACTTCTGCCAACAAACCCATGTCTGGTCATCACAGCAACATCATCAGCTAGATGCTAAAAGAAGTCTCCAAAATGGTTAATTATTAATGACCATGAAAAGAACCTGCCACCTACCGTGTAGCAAGGAGGAGGAAGTGTTATGGTTTGGCTATGCTATACTGTCATAGGATAGGTATATTCATTCTTTAAAACCCTTGTAAATTCCAGGGAAATAATAGATAATATGCAAAAAAACAAAAACAGAACACTAAGACTAAGAAAAAATAAAAAAAAAGACAGGACAATGACCTAAAACGTCACGAATGTTCAAGAACAGAAAGTTACAGCCCAGGTCTGGATATTGCTGAGACCCTGTGGGGCGACTTGAAACAGGCTGTTCATGCAAGAGGGGGCCAAACTTTGCTCAGACGGATGCCAGAAATTAAGTCTGCATTTGGAGGTGTCTCAGTCAAGTTATTTCTGCCAGAGGAGATAAAACCAGCTTCTTAAGGACAGGGTGTCCTTAATTATTACAAAGATAGAAATGTGTTATTTCTAATAAGCAAAACAATAAAAAAAATATATAATATCATATATCTATACATGTACATCTGTACATCCCCATCTACGTCATATATACATCTCTTAAAGAAAAGTACGCTACAGTACTGGATTTAAATTCAGAATTCAAGTTTCATTTGCAGCACTTCCAGGATCTCTGTTGTGATGCAGCAACAACTTCCTTACAGTCACAGTTCCTCACTCAACATAAGCTGACAATCGATAAGGCATCTGTGCTTTGAGTACAAGTAAACTTCCATGTAAGCTGCAGCAGTAAGTCTGTCAGGAAAATTACTCAAGAACTCACTGATTCCCGTCAAATGAAGAAACATCCCACGCCTTCTTATCCAGCTATTTCAGGCCCCATGAAGAAACGTGCTCAGTTTAAATTAGTCACAGTAACTTTGTTCCAGGAAAACTGAACCTAAAGTACCTCAAACCCTCAGACGAAAGGAGTTCTACCCGACAACTCTACCCACAAACCGACCATTGATACAGACTCATGCCATCCGCCTACCCTCACAAAGGGAGCGAGATATTTCTAGCAGCCCTCTGGTCCAATTGTCTCCTCCTGCGTATTTGTGTGCTGCACCACCTGTCCTAGTCCATCTCCTGTCCAGCCTTTTCTTCCATCCCATCAAAACTCAAGTCTCTCGATTTAGTGCAACTAAATCACAAGGCAGCATTTAGCTAAACGGCACTGAATGCATGAGTTATTCTAAAATAATCGGTACAATTGTCTATAATTAGACATGAAGAATTTTACCAACTAGAAGATCCCATTTATCATTTTTTTTTACTTTACAAAAAAATAAAAATGACTACAGAGGGTTTATTCCAGTAGGCTTCCACTAATGTAACCCCTGGAACGACACTGTTCAAATATAACTGTATTGTCTGATCTAATAATGAAAACTCTTTAGCCAATAAAACTAAATAAAGAAAGAGAGGGTTTCTGTAGGTCATGTGTGTGTTTTTACAGATCAGAAGAATATTATGTAATTTCTTTGTGCTCAACATGTTCATCCAGGTGTTATTTCCACAGGCTGATTTGCACATCAAAAAATATAACAGGTCAGCTTCTCTTTATTCACCTTCTAAAACCCACACATGATGATACCATCAGCAGCACCTGGCAGCTTTACCACACACAGCCACCCCCACCCCGCCGCCCCGCTCCCATCTACAGCCCACAGGCACCTGGAATAACAAGGCTTCAGGTCAGTTTGTTGACTCAGGGTGGGCTGACCTGACTGCTCAGTTTTAGGGTTTTCCACAAGTGGTTCAACATATCTGAAAGACTTGGAGGTTTCTAAATTAGCGTCAGCATGACAGCTATACAGATATATTCAATTTAAATCAGTTTGGTAAATAAAAACACCAATCAATTAAAATCAACTATCGCTGCATAAAAGCCAGATTATAAAGCAGAATAAAGACGAAAACCAAAATAAGCAGCCTGTGATAGACCAAAAAACAACGAGGAACAGAGTGTTCTTCTAGTCTTTGTCAGATCATAAACTTCTCTAATCCTTTGTAATCCAACACGGTCAGATCATTGACTGCCTTTACTAAGTCATCTGTTACAATGGAGAAATAAAATAAAAAAAATGACTCATTTTAATACCAATTTAAATCATAATTTCAAACTAAAAATCTTCTCTAATCTATGCCATAAAACATCAAACAAAAAAAATTATAACCTTTGGTGGGAAATAAAAATCTATGTACTTTTCTTTCAAAGATAGGGCACTAAATTTCACCTGCAGTTTTTTTTTTTTTTTTTTAGTACATGCATGAACTGGGTTTTTTTAGGAGGACTCTACAAAGATTGCTGCTCAGATGCTAAGACCTGCAAACCGCTTTGGTTCTGCCCATAAAGGAGCAGATTATGCGTACTCCTAGAAGTCTGAGAGTGGCCGTAAAAGAAAGAAGAGGTTTAAAGTCATGGAGATGGAGACTATAACGATTATAAAAAAATTTAATAAAAAAAATTCATTAACATATTGTTAATTCAAGGTGCATACATGTTTACATCTGCACAGAATCTCACGCCACTCTTGCATTTTTGAGTGTCAGTTTTCCACCTGCCTCTTAGAAATACTAAAAGAGACTGCAGCCAAAGTTGAGTTTAAGATTAGGAAAATTGCTTTGCACTTAGTAAATGTTTATCCATTGCTTCCACCAATGAATTGGCAATGTTTGGTCATTAGAGTGTGATCTGCATAGTTACATGATCTTGGTTTCTGTTCCCTGTTAAGTTCTAACTATTGGCAGACAGCAAGTGTTAAAACACCCGACACACACGTCAGCCTAGCACCAAAGATTATTGTGGTATCTGCTGAGCGCAGCATGTTTGGAGAGTACAGCCAGAGAGTACAATCTTCTCAGAATTTCAGCCAGACCACAATAAACATGATCCCTTTTAAGTTGGTCTCAAGCGGACATATCAGGAATACGGAGTGATTTTCATCAGAACAAGCTGCAAATGTAGCCCAAACGCAAAACACCTCATCCGCAGTTTTTACTTTTACTCTGACAGAAAATAAAAACCAGTCAAATGCCTAATGTTATATTAGAGAGAAGATGTCAGTAAAAGGGGAGGTCTGTATTTAACTTACAGTAAAATCAAGGAGAAACAGACCAAAGACACACAATAAGCTAAAGAGAAAAGAAAAAGTGTGGAGCAGGAGATTAGATGCAGAAAGTTAAGAGTCTATTTTTGGGAAAAGGAGGCAGAATTGCAGGCGTGAGTAACGCGCCTTTTTAAACAAAAATATAAAACACGGTGAGTTTAGAATGCACTTATTTTTTCCTGTTTCTGTATCCTATAGAAAATAAGGAAATAGGAGAATGTGTCTGCCAAAGGAAATAATAACAGCATCAGGATGTGTTGCCGCTTCAGCAGATTCATACCCCATAATATTCAGAAGGTACAGTAACAACATGCTTCAGATAGAAACAATATAAAAAATAATCATACTTTACAGAATATCTCAATTTACCCCCAAATTAACCTACCTATGCTTTTTAGCGCACAATGAGAAACAAATCCAAAACAAAGCAACATATTATCTGAATACTGTGCATTACTGAACTTAACTAACAGCATAGAAAGATGCAGCTTAAATGAGAAGCATGTTCCCAGGTTTGACAAAATATAACAAAAAGCTCCAAAAAACAGGAAAACATTTTTTTTTTTTTATATTCAGCTTCACTGTGCGAGACTGAAAAGCTAATAATATTTTTTATCCAGCAATGTATTGAAATGGTCCAAAACCACCTGGAATAAAGAAAATATAAAAAATAAAAATACAAACATTTCACTTTGAATTTCTCAAGACAGACATTTCCTTATTTCATTTCTCATTAGAGAAGTGGCACAGCTGATAGATCATTTCCAAAAACTGCAGGTCTTTACATGTCATAGATATGTTTACTCGTTGACTAATTGCGGCTGGAAAAGCTCAGCCCTCACTGCACTGCATCCAAGACTGCCTATAGAAAAAATATTAGCAGCAGCAAAGATCGGGTCCCAAGCAAGACATTCTAAAACCACAAGTACTGAAAACACTGACTTTTTGATCCTCTGTTAAATTGTTCTGCTCCTTCTGCATCAATAGTGGTAATAATTTTTCAGATTTACCAATTACCTTACATTTACCAATTTAAGAAAAAAAGGTTAATTCTTGTGCAATATCTGATTTATACTGGGCATTTGTTTTATTGATCTATAAAAACCATAAATATAATATAATACAACATAATATATATATATATATATTTTTTTTTTTTTTTTTTGTAATAAGTTTTTCTTTTAACAAGTTTTCAAGACATCCAGGAAAAAGTTTTCAGACTGGTTTCTGCAGCTTGGTGGCCATGTGACCTGCTCCACATAAAGCAGCTGATAACTATAATGTTTAAGAGGAACTTTAACTGGAAGGGCGATAATAAATGTTATTAACAAAAAGATGGATGAGTCATATCAAATAAACATAATAAAGTTAGTCTGGTTGGTACAGAGTATTGCTCCAAATATCCAGTTAGATGTGTATCCTAAAAAAACAAAATATAAAGCAATAAAAATGTATTATGACTTAATATTTCTGCAGCTTAAACATTTTGGAACTAGATTGGAAGTAATCAGTTAGGGGGCAATTAACCCTCATCAACCCACTGCTAATTTCAGGCATAGTCCCTTTTATGGATTTCTAAACACTATTTAGATGGTAAGTGAGATTTTTTGAGGATTGCGTGCATTTTTAAGGTAGCAGAGAACAGTTAAGCACTTAGCAGATCATTATTTAAAAAAAAAGTCTGATGATCAAACAGTCACAACGTGAGTCAGGCTTTGACATCAAGTCTGTTATTCATTTTAAATCATATCTAAATATAACAACTGCTGTCATGCTAGGCTTTGGTCGAGTAGTTTGTAGCCTGACAAACTTTTTTTTTTTTTTTGTTTTCTGTACCTTGTGACATTATTTGAGTCACAAACATGTTTCCCTTTTCCTGTAAAGAGTTACTATGCAGCTCACTGAGTAGGGTTTACCAAACATCTCACAACATGCATAGGATGTGATATGTGGACAGAAAAGGTTCATTTCCAGGTAAATGTAGTAAAAAAAACAAACATTGATGCATCATTGCATATGAAGGTAAAGCATGTCCATGGGTTCATAATTAAACCTCCAACATCACTAAAGCTTTGTTACTATGCCAGCGATAATGCCATTAAAACATACTCTCAGTTCAGTGTCGTTTGTGTGTTTCTGCTTAGTGAGTAAATCCTGAGCACCAAGATTTAAGATTATTGCAGACAACTTAAAGACTCTTCAAGTTACAGTCAGCTTTAACCTGAGCAAGAATCCTCTGTATGCCATTCTGCTATAAAAAGGAGCCATGTGTGCCTTTATAATGTTATTAAATGGAAAACAGACAAAGGAAACTAGTGGGTTTTTAACTTATAATAAGCCTCTTAAGGACAACCTTAATAATGTTAAACATCAGCACTTTGTCACTGCTGGAGAGACCAACTGATATTTTAAGCTTTATTAACTAAACCAACAATGCAGTAAAAAACAAACTTCATATAATTTCTGACTATTGTATAAGACCGCAAATGCTTTAAATCTTAATATTACAGAGATGATATGCACAGCTTATAATGTTTAGATAAAACAGGCGAGACAGGCTTCATCTCAACAAGAAACATCTAAGATACATAAAGAGTTTAGTATATTTAGAGTTTCTTTATGTTAATCTCTGACACTGCACTGACCGAGGGCGACACCTGCTGTTAGGAGAATGTCAGATGCTTCGTTTAGTAATAAACATTTCCAGCGTTTCTTTGCTCAGCAGCTAATTGCTCATTACGCCATAACCATATCTTTGGAAAAATTTGTGAATTTTGATTTCAAAGGACATCTGACGGAAAAGGACGACTTAAAACTCCAAGATCAACTCCTAACTTTTTAATTCCTTATAATCTCTTTGATGACAGACTGAAATAACGTTAATAAAGGTCAGTTGCTCATAATAGAGATTAGGGTTGTCACGATACTAAACTTTTCAACTCAATACCGATACTAAGTAAAATATTCGATACTCGATACCCTTTTCGATACCACAAGGATTAAAACAAAGACTAAAATTCAACAGAAATATTTTCATTACTAAAAGAAATACAAGAAATAAATAAAAAAAAACAATAAGAATAATATTTTGAGGTTGTATGCTATGCACAATATTAAGCAAGCTTGATAAAAAAACTTACAAAATTAAAATTAAGTGTTCCTTCCTTGGTTATGTTTTTCAGACATAACAATGACACTAGCCAAACCAGTTAAACAAAAATAATTCTCAGCAGCTGCACCTGTTACAAAAAAAAGTCTGAAATTGAAAAATGCACATAATTATTCAATCACACAGTGTTCAGAAAGTGCATTTCCACTATTCTGCACTTTAGATGGCTGTATCGATACTTTTGAAAATGAGTATTGTATCCGGATACACTGTTTCAGTATCGATACTTTTTTGAGTATCGATACTTTTGACAACCCTAATACAGATGCATCAACAATTACTCATCATCCTTTTTTATTACCAAAAAAACCCCCCAAAAAATCCAATCTGTACTTTGACATACGACAACCACTATTACACCAATTTTCTCCAAGTTTCTGTAAATTGACTTTGGGACTTTTCATGGCCTTATGATGACTTCAATTTAAAACCTCTATGAAGAACAATAATAACTTTTAACACCTCTTTTTTCCCTTTACCCAATAATAGAAGTTGCAGTTTTCAGGCACTCAACTGTGACTCTATGTGCGTTAATTTAATGCCAACAATGTAAAAAGGGAAAACCAATACCATCAACTCATTTAAAAACAAACAAGCAAAAGCAAATATGTTAAAGAGCTTCCAAATAACACAAACAGACCCTCAACAGAAGTATCCTGAATCAGAGCGCCTTCAGTTAACAAATAGGTTTTTCCCATGCAGCTGATCATAGACAAACATAACGAGCAATAAAAGGACTCGTCCCACAGCAGAAACATTTACCTAGATGGTGCTTATCTACACACTAAACATTCAGATGCATAATCTACAGAAAAAAAACCTTGATAATCCAACAGAATGCAGTACCTGAGTTGTGTTTTAAGTTCATTGAAGCGTGGCCTTTTGCTGGGATCGTAGGACCAACACTTCGTCATTAGGCTGTAAAGGGTAGGGGGGCACTGAGGGGGCATGGCAAGGCGCTCGCCGTTCTCTATCCTGCCAATGACGTCGTTGTTCTTCACGCCCTGGAAAGGCTTGATGCCGTACATCAGGATTTCCCACATGCAGACGCCTGTTGACGAGCACAAGACACCAAGAGACTGACTGTGAAGGCAAGCTAACTGTGAAATTCAACAGCTTCAAACTGGAAAAAAGAAAAGAGGAGACAGCGGCTTTAAGCATACCAAACATCCAGACGTCACTGGCTGTAGTGAACCGTCTGAAGTTGATGGATTCTGGAGCCATCCATTTAATGGGCAATTTACCTTTAGATGCTGCAAAAGAGGAAGGAAATTAGATTTTTACTTAAGGCTTAATAACCAAAGAACAGTTTTTTCAGATGGACTCAAAAGAGCAATAGAGAAAAAAAAAACAACAACGTCAAACTGTTGATTTAGTTGAATTAGTTACCTTTATAATACGAGCTATCCTCCATGTATCTGGAAAGACCAAAGTCCCCCAGTTTTACACAGTCCACTGTGGACACCAACACGTTTCGTGCTGCAATATCCCTGGAGAGGACAACAACAGCAGCAGCAAACTTAGGTAGATAGAAGAGTTTTATGAAGATGCATTTCAATATTTAACCAAATATTTGGGTTCTGGTACGTAGCAGTAAAACAGGACTTATGTCCCTCTGGAATTGCCTTTAGTATAAGATTTCTACAATGCTATTTGTTAATCCACTCTTTGTACCTGTGTACGAAGCGTTTGCTCTCCAGGTAAGCCAGGGCTGTGCTCAGCTGGAAAGAGTACAAGATGAGAGTGGCCAGATCCAGACTGTACTTCCTAACCTGGAGGAACGACCTCAACTGTGGAAGACAGAGAGAAAACCACAGAAAAGGGTCAAAACAAAAAGCTGAAACCAAACAAACGACTAGAAATATAGGTGAGAATGAGAGATCCTCTGAGTGCATATAGTTCCTTGTGAAAATGCCAGGGTTATGTTTTTTTTTGTATGTAGAAATATGGGACCACGGTGAATCGGTTCAACAAAAAAGTAGCACTTTTTTCCTTCAAAGAGATTTTTTTAAAGGTGATTATGAAAGTAAATATGTCACTGAAATGTCTTTAAAGATTAATCAGCTATTGCTTATTAAGAAGCTTCACCATAAACAACAGCTAATAAGACATTCAGAATTACTTCCAAGTTGTTTTTGTGCGAGTATAATGATGTGATCTTCCATAATAACACCAGATCATTTGATTTTTTTTAAACTATTCAAACCCAGATCTCCATCAGCAACAATCTGTTCAGTAAGGCTCAAAACCAGTGAACACAGGCTGGAAAAGCAGCAATATTTCAGTTTCCTACAGGCAATGGAGATGACCTTTAACCCCAAAATAATAAGTGCTTTCATAAAAAAAAAAACAGCTCTTTTTGTTTTTCTTTTACTCCATCCATCCATCCATCCATCCATCCATCCATCCATCCATCCATCCATCCATCCATCCATCCATCCATCCATCCATCCATCCATCCATCACCATCTGTTCAGCATCTTTGTCGGTCACCTGGATTTAGATAGAATATGCAGTCCATTTAATACTATTAAATGATTACAATGGTTTGTGTACCATACAAGCAAGAACCCCGATGTCTATCAAGAGAATATGTATCCATTAAATAGGAGACTCATTCTTATATGACTGGAATAATAAAAACTGTTGTGAGGTGGAATTTTCTATTTTAACAAAACATTTTCTTGCCCAAAAGTCTTTGCCAAAAAAAAAAAGACCTCAGTTTACTTTGCTGATAACAGTGAAAAATTGAAACATGGCGCGTTCCATGTGTAATTTAGGAATACTGAAATATTGAACTGAGTCAGGCATGCAGTACAGATTTGGACATCTTAATCCATCTAAGACCAGATGGACCAGAAACGAACCCTCACATCTTTCATTTTGCTCAACTTAATTTCCGAGGAAAATTAAAAGCCACTGAATGCTTTGATCAGTACCTCCCCGAGCGTGCAGAGCTCCATGATGATCCACACTGGATTCTCTGTGATGACTCCCATCAGCTTCACTATGTGAGGATGGTCAAACTGACGCATTGTCACTGCATAGAGAGCAACAGCCATGGAAATTCAGATGAGTATTTATAGTTGCTATGCCTTAGTAACTAGGAATTACACAGAGGTTTTATCTGGTTAAAGCGTAAACAAGTAAGAATCTTACATGCTTCCTGCAGAAATTTTTCCCTGACACTGTCTGATGTGGAGTTTTTACACGTCTTCACTGCCACAGATAACGCTGGGTTCTCCTGTGTGAAGCAGATATAAACCAGAAAAGAATCAGAAGAGACACTTGTACAATAAAGGCAATCAGATAAAAAACAAACAAGGACTTATTAAAGAGCAAGTATCTGTATACTTGGCCTGGAACCAATCAAAAGATATAAATAAAAGTTACATTAAACTTTTCTATCTTTCTAATCCTAAAGTTTAAAGCAACATTTTGTTTTGACCCAATTATTCCCCTGATTTGAGACGTATTAAATTCTGGTCAATGTACATCACTTGGCACTTAAGGATGCACTTAGCAGCTCCTAGATGTAATACTGCAATCAGTATAGTTGTTTTAGGATTTGAAATGTAAACGTCTTTCACATTTATGAAGCACTAAGCCATGCTAACTGTTTTACTGTGACTCAGCTTAACCAAAATTAAACAAACAACAGTTGTTGTAGAAATATATTAAACCGTTTCACTTTTAAGTGCCATTTATAAGACAAAAGAAAAAACGAGGGAAAAGTGGCACAAAAAAAAAATGCAGCTATTACACAAATAATGCAAATGAAAAATTTTCACCATCACTTTGAAGAAGATGGAGGACACGTACTTGGCTGATGTAGACTCCTTGATGGACGTCTCCGAACTGACCCTCACCGATGCAGCGCCCCAACTCAATGCAATCCCGCTGAATCTCATAGTCCCTAGCTACAGAAGTTTACACACATAAACAATACAGACACAAAAAGAAAACAGAAGAGGTTTTATATTATTATTAATATTGTCATACACACTAATATCTAATTACAGAACTTCCACTTTCCAAGCTTGTTAGAGCAGTTTATACTGTGCATTTATAGTGAAGGTAAAATCCAACAATATCTGAACATGAATTAAATAATGCAATATTAATTATATCATTTGGAGACCCAGGTTTGTATTTTCTGTTCATATTTTTTTAAAGCTTTTTTTTTTTTAAGTTTCTTACTCTGACAAGCTTGGATTTGATTACAGGCGGCATAGCTTATTCTCAGCAGCATGCAACAACAATACCAGGAATGCACAGCGAACCATGCCACATAACACAGATGACTAACAGCCGATAAAACTCAATGTACAGGGGGAGTCAGAAATTTGCACACACTGATGTGGTCATGAATAGCTTGACTTTTAATAATCCATTTGAACTGTTCCTTTTTTCCCCCCAAAGGACCAATTCGGTTAAGTATGACTGTAATTTTGCAGGTACTTATGCAAAACCTCTGCAAGAGGACTGTTTTAAGGCACAACAAAACATCTACTCATTCACAATAATAAGAAAAATGCTTGCTGTTAAAGTGAGGCTTTTAAACTCAAGAACAGCATCATGCTGAGGGTCTGTTTCACTGCCAGCGGTACTGTTGCACCTTTCACAGCAGGAGGGAAATTATATAAAATGCAAAACTCAGACCGACAACTTTCTGTTTAAAGCTTAATCCTTAAAGGGTTTCAGCAGGACAAGAATTTTGGAGAGGCCAAGACTTTAATCCCAATAAGAAATAAATACATTATATCTTTAATCTCAATTTGAAGCCAAGATACCAGTCAGTTAAAACTAGGTATTGAATAATATTTTAGAAAAAAAGAGTAAGAGTGTTACCTAGTTGTTATTCTTCTCAACAGTCACCACATGCAAGAACAGGAGGAGGGATTGCTGCAAAGTCAATGCCTCAATGCAGATGGTTAAGCTTCCTTAAACAGGTCACCTTTTTACCCATCAGGCAATAAACCAAACTTGATTGGACTGTTTGATAAGTAGACTAATAAAATGTTTAATTTTTTTATTTTTTTTCCCTCTTTTTAAATACATTTTTAAAGGCAATGTTTTTTTTAAGGCATTAGGTTTAAACAAGTTCATCATTTTCTCCTTTTTAAAATTAATTTAAGTTGTATTCTGTATCATTGTGAAATTAAAACAGTTCAAATGCATAAATAAAAGCCCAAAACCAAAGCAGTCATGCCCATGACGAGTGTATGTAAACCTCTGACAGACACTTAAAATAAAAACAAGAATTAATAAGCTAATTAATCTATAATACTGATAAAGTCAGGTGGACAGTGCAACAGCGAATCATCGGCAGGAAGAAACGAACTTCTAAGGACCTTGAAAAGGCTTTTGATGTAAATGACTCTTTTTCGCAGAAAACAAGGATTCACACAATGAAAGTCAGGCTGTTGTAAGCTGCCTGACCTGACTTTGACCATGTTATAATCAAATGAATATTAAATGAGGATCTAAATGTCCAGTTAAGGAAATCTCTTCTTTTAGAAAAATTACTGCTGTCTAAATGGGACTTTTCAGGCAGTAAAAAAGCCTGGGGTAATGTCCTAAATGTGGAAATGGGCCATAGCACCCAGAATATAACTGCTTTTAAAGCCACTATAATGGTATCATTATGTTGGTTATTGGTCTGGGTGCCTCATTATCACATGTCTAAATTGATGGATAAATGTAAACTTTCTGCATGCTGAACTTTCCATAATGGAGCATGTTCTAAATAAAATAGCCTGATCAACTTATATAATTATTTTATTTTCTTTATTATTTTATTACTTTATTAATATTATGCTGTTGCACAACAGTGCCACAATTTAACATCACCTTAAGTTGCCATTATATTAATACTAACACTTTTTTTCTTCAACCTATAAAGTGCAAACAAGGTCATCGGCTGGATCCAAGTTGTTAAGCTCTGACCAGCTCAGCGAATAACTAACATCACAACCACACATCAACAAAAAGAAGGAAGTAAGGCATAGACGGCAAAATATCACTTCTTATTTTACATATGCAAGCAAAAATGAAAAGGTCACAACAACCACCAAATCAAAGAGTCATGGACATGGTTCCAATCATTACCTTGATCTAGTCCATAGTATTCTGGGAAAATGGGTTAGGTATAAAGATTTTATTATTTAGGACCAGTATCACAGTGACACATGAGTTAGGAGGGAGGACGACATGCCGATTAATCTTCTAAGGCTTAAAATCAACCTGCTTTAAACAATCATTTCTTTTTATTATAATAGTACTAAGGTTTTCTGACATTTAAAGAAAAAGCAGCAAAAAAAAAACAACTTTTGTAATTGAAGATTTTTAAAATAAACAGTCCACATTTCCTGGTAATTCTCTTTTAAAGCAGCAATGAACTTTATTTCGAGTATTGCACCGGAAGTATTTGTTTTTTTTAACTACTATAATTTTAATACCTTTCTATTTGGGTGTTTATAAGATTAAACCTTGAAGACTTTGGTAGAAGACGTTAACTATTGATTTAAAAAAAAAGCTAAACAAAAACCATGTCTGGTTGTATGAATACGTCTACAATATTTGGACAACATTTTATGGCAGTTCGAATGGGCAAATTTATTTGAATTTAGCAAACTATTCTCAATTTAAATTCCAGCAGATCCCTCATGTTGTTTTAAAGTGCACTCACCCATCTCTGCCTCTCAATGTTGTCCATTAAACAATGAACAGATATGAATCACACATCTAAACCCAGGGGCCAGGCAGTACACAGCAGCCACAGCAAGCTCTTATCGACCTAGAAGTAACAGTTGAGTCTGAACACCAAGGAGGGAGCAGCAGGATACTTGATGCTTGAATGTTACTTGGAAATGTTGGCTATAATTCTAACAATGTGTTATTAAGAAGCTGCTTTTTATTCGTTTTACAGTGACTTTTATGTACAGTTTAATGTACAAATATAAAATTATTGCATTAGGTAATAATACGCCTTTTCAAAAGTTACATGATGAAGTAAGTATTGAAGTAAGTATTGATAACTGGGAAGATTATAATACCTCCATATTCCAGCAAAGGATTCGCAGCTTTTAAAACCATAGCAAATATTTTTTAGAAAATACTTATCAATCCGATGCAATATGTAACATTTATTCAAACAGGAAGATAGCTGTTTAAAAAGAGACAAGTCAGGAGCCAGAGTGTTTTTACCATTTAAAAATGGATGGAGAAAAAAACAGAGCAGTTTTTGTGGGACAAGCGATAAATCAACAAGGTCCACGCATTTTGGCAGCCTTGACATCTCCTATCATCTATATCCATATAGATGTTTTCAAGACCTGTGATTCAATATGCGTGCAAAAGTTTCACATCCCTGCTGAGTTTTATGTTGCCTCAGACAATAAATCTGTTTGGAAGATTAAGCATACTGAAAATGTACAATTTCCCCCCAAATTAAACCTTTCTTTGATGGATCTGGAATAGAAAGTGTCTCCAGCTCCACAGGCTTCTCTGCAGTCAGTGGAAGGTAAGGAGAAGAAAAAGAAATACAGGAGATGGCCCACATTTAGGGACAAAACCTAAAGCCTAAAAGGTCAGACTTACAGTGGCTGGACACGGCCAACCTACATATCCATGTGTTTGGGAAGCTCAAGCGGCATTTGATATAGGAAAAAGCAGTGTTTAGATATATTCACACAAAAAAGATTCCCAGTAATTCTATTATAAAACCGATTAAATCGCTGTTTTTTATTCTGCACTTGTTTCCATCTATAGATATCATTCCATAATTTTGAGTGGAGTCACATTAATCTGCCATTTAGGCTACAAAGATAAACACAGCTTCCGCCGTCCCCAGCAACAAGGCTATGTGCAATTTAAAAGTGGAATCTGATCTCTATGTACACATTGTGTGGTTTTTACTGTTTTTGTTGTTGCTGGTTACCTCTTCGATTCCTAATTCAGTCAAAGCTCTTAAAAAGCAGACTGCAGATTTTACAATGTGGTTTTCCTCTTAAATCTGAAGCCAGTAGTTACTGGTTAGGACCCAGATTTCTCTTCAAAATAGTTGAGCCCATGTTAGTTATAAAGTGATGAACAAATTATTAATTTAAGTTCTAATTAAATGTTGCTAAAATTACATTGTTATTTCCTGATTTTACTGAATCACTGATGAGATTCTAACCTAAAATCTCAACAATACATAATAAGTTAAATAAATCCACCGTAAACTTTCAAAATGAAAGTTTTACTACTTCCGATACAACACAGAAATATCTGTATTCCTCCTGTTTGTTCCAGACCTCTAAATCATCATATAGCAACATCATATTTCACAGTAACATTTAAGAGGAACGTCTACTTACTTGAAGGCATGGTGTAGGTGTCCTCCTCATCTATGATCTCAGCATAGTCATCTGTTTCTGCATAATCAGAGTCCAGTTAGGAACCAGAACCAAAAAAATGTTGAATGGTTGGTTACAAAGTAACAGAACTTAACTACATAGTATTTCTACTTTGCATCTTCAGGGTAAACATCCCTGACTAAACACAAAGGAAAACATGCAGCACAACTATACGTCTACTCATACATACATATACGTATTTGTTAGCAAAATGAGAAAAAACATCAGAAATCTGCTGAGATTCCCACGTACCTTTCAATAAGACATTTTAGATACTAATATGTACCCACAGAGAATGAATCTTTGTGGTAAGATAGTGAGGGAAACATGCAGAGAGAGACCACCAAGAGGAAAGGGAGGCTTGAAAGTGTTTTCCTTTCCACAGAAACAAACTGCATGAAAACAGTCTGAGTCATAGGCCACCAAAACACTCAGAGGCAGAAAAGATCCCGCTAACACTTACACAGCGCTAAATCCACAGACCGTTTATTGTTTTACTAATTAAAAGGACATTTAATACAAATAATGAGTTTACCATCGCCACTAACGTGACCTGCAGAAGCCGCAAGCAGCATAAAACACAAACAGAGAGGAGCAAAGAGAACAAAGTTTTAGCTTTATAGTCAACATGAGAAAAAAATATATAGCATAATAATAATTTTCTGTGGTATTCAGGGTGGTTTCACTTTAAACTGTAAATATTAATGGGTGAGAGGTCAGGGGAGAGTCAGAAAGCAGAAACAGAGTGGCAATGACTAAAGCTCTCCAGGGAGACATCTGCTGAGACAAGGACTGTTCTCTGCACACACAGAAAAGGCTATATGGACGATTCTGGCATCAAACACATATCTATGCTCCCTTCACGCAACTGGCATTGGCTCATTCATGACATTTAAGGAAAAGTGAATCAACTGGCAGGGATGTTATACCTGACACACAAACGGCCCGGGTGCGTACTCCATCCATCCGCTTCTCCATCCGCTTCTCATGATTTGAAACTCTGCAGCAGAGAGTTAGCTCGCATTAAAAATACTGCATACAATGTGAACAGAGATACGGTCAAATCTAGGCTGTAAAATGAACCAAATTGGAGTTCGTCTATTCAAATTCTTGTTCAATGAGTTGAACACATAAAAAAAAATAAATTAAGATGGAAAAATAAACTCAAACATTATGTCTTCATTATAAATAAAAAAAATGTATAGAGATGGCTTTAAAGATTAGGTGAAGTAAATGGCCAACAAAAAAAAACAAATTAAATTTACATTTAACTACAACTTTTTAACTAAACATGTAAAAATGTGTAAAGAAACAATATTTAATTCAAAGTGCAACTTTAGAGACGCTTTCAGTAAGTCTTTAAGGGGCTTTACAATCCCAGAGGCTGCTGTTATCCTTTTCACTGTATGCATTAATTTATTCCCTAGCTTTTCCTTCAACTTAACTTTTTTGCAATAGTTATATCTTTATATGGAGAGCTTTTTAGCCACACCCTTTTATTACTCAACAAAATATGGATGGTGTCAATAACTCCCTGCTTTAGAGGCAGGACTCTCTCTCTCATTACACCCTTGGCCATAATATAGCATAGCATTTTTATATTAAAAGAACTATTTGTTGGTGTTAAGTTACTTAATTTTTTTTTTAGACACTAGATTTAATGTTTTTATTAGCCAGAATCATTTAAATGAGCAGAAAAATTGGGATGTTTCTCTGAGATGCATTTGAACCATAAAAAAGTCGGGGTACTCACTTAGGTATTGAAGGCAGAGCTCTGTCTCCCTCTGCAAAGATGGAAAAAACACAGCAACAAGTGTGAACAAGCTAAAGTAAAAATACAAACTTGACTGTTGTTCTTCTAAACCTTCACTACTTGCAGAAAAGGATAAAGCATAAAGGCTGGTTATCATTCATAGTGAGAAACCAGGGCTCCCCAGTATGACAATGACATCTGTTGGAGGGTTCTGCGTTTTACACAATACACCTTTTTATTTTTCCTTTCATTTTTTGAAACCAAACCAAAAAAAAAAGGCACAACAACAAAAATACTAAATTCTGTAGTTATTTAACATACCTTTATGGACTCTGACAATGAAGGAGCGAGTGACCGCAGAGACAAGACGACAGTAGCCGTCAATCAAGTCAGCCATGTTTTCTGCTGTGTTCAGCAAAGCTGTAGTGACAGTGAGGGGCTATAAACATGGAGAGAGACAGAAGGATCAGTGTAAGAGCAGGACAGGGAGCTGCTTCACGATGACACAATGAGAGCTTCACTGATAATAACGTCCCCCACCAGAGTGCGAGCACTCAGCCCTGTGCCAGTACTGCAGCAGTGAAGCACGCATGTAGCATCCGGCTGCACAAACACACACTCAGAGGAGATGGCAGAGACTCCGGGCTCGTCTCTCAGTGCCGTTTCTTAATTATATTTGCCCTGTTTTTTTTTTTTTTTTTTTTTTTTTTTCTAAACTTCATACAAGAGGAACCAATTAAATTTTAGGGGTTTTGAAGTAAAAGTGCCATGTTAAATAGAAAGAAAAAAGCCATAATAATTATGTTAGAGACATTAGGTACATTTTTACTGTAAAAAATCTGTAAAAAATTAAAATAGCCTTTTTATTTGACCCTTTACAACTAATACTGAGATTTGTGGATATTCAGAAGCAACCAGCATTTAGCTCAAGTATATATATATATATATATATATATATATATATATATATACACAAAATAAAGTTGTAACAAAGAGACGGAAGAGAGAGATTGACAAAACTTCATCAGCCTGCTTCATCATCTAAAAAAGGAGAGATGTAAAAAGAACAGCACAACCAACTGATATAGAACTTCAGATACAATATAGCAACCCATTGATACATCACTGAGGTACACTATATTGCCAAAAGTATTTGCTCACCTGCCTTGACTCACATATGAGCTTAAGTGACATCCCGTTCCTAATCCATAGGGTTCAATATGACGTCGGTCCACCCTTTGCAGCTAGAACAGCTTCAACTCTTCTGGGAAGGCTGTCCACAAGGTTTAGGAGTGTGTTTATGGGAATTTTTGACCATTCTTCCAGAAGCGCATTTGTGAGGTCGCACACTGATGTTGGACGAGAAGGCCTGGCTCTCAGTCTCCGCTCTAATTCATCCCAAAGGTGTTCTATCGGGTTGAGGTCAGGACTCTGTGCAGGCCAGTCAAGTTCATCCACACCAGACTCTGTCATCCATGTCTTTATGGACCTTGCTTTGTGCACTGGTGCACAGTCATGTTGGAAGAGGAAGGGGCCAGCTCCAAACTGTTCCCACAAAGTTGGGAGCATGGAATTGTCCAAAATGTCTTGGTATGCTGAAGCATTCAGAGTTCCTTTCCTTGGAACTAAGGGGCCAAGCCCAGCTCCTGAAAAACAACCTCACACCATAATCCCCCCTCCACCAAACTTTACACTTGGCACAATGCAGTCAGACAAGTACCGTTCTCCTGGCAACCGCCAAACCCAGACCCGTCCATCAGATTGCCAGATGGAGAAGCGCGATTCGTCACTCCAGAGAACGCGTCTCCACTGCTCTAGAGTCCAGTGGCGGCGTGCTTTACACCACCGCATCCGACGCTTTGCATTGCACTTGGTGATGTATGGCTTGGATGCAGCTGCTCGACCATGGAAACCCATTCCATGAAGCTCTCTGCGCACTGTTCTTGAGCTAATCTGAAGGCCACATGAAGTTTGGAGGTCTGTAGTGATTGACTCTGCAGAAAGTTGGCGACCTCTTCGCACTATGCGCGTCAGCATCCGCTGACCCCGCTCCGTCAGTTTACGTGGCCTACCACTTCGTGGCTGAGTTGCTGTCGTTCCCAAACACTTCCATTTTCTTATAATACAGCTGACAGTTGACTGTGGAATATTTAGGAGCGAGGAAATTTCACGACTGGATTTGTTGCACAGGTGGCATCCTATCACAGTTCCACGCTGGAATTCACTGAGCTCCTGAGAGCGACCCATTCTTTCACAAATGTTTGTAAAAACAGTCTGCATGCCTAGGTGCTTGAATTTATACACCTGTGGCCATGGAAGTGATTGGAACACCTGATTCCAATAATTTGGATGGGTGAGCAAATACTTTTGGCAATATAGTGTATATAGAGTATTAATCAATACGAAATGTATAAAGTGATAGCTGAAGATAAAAATTGGCGAGTATGTAAGTAACTGGATTCAAGCACCTGTAGGTGTTTGTAAGAATGCGCTTGTGTGTGTAAGGTTTATCCAGCAAAATCAGCATTCAACAGACCAGCTCAAGTAAGACACCAATGGTAACGGTAGAAAAAAAGATAAAAAAAAAAACAACATTACAAGAAAGAGCAAGAGGAGTGCTGCAGTTCTGTGTTTTAGCCACCGGTGGCAGTATCATTCAAAACTCTGTGTGTGCCTCTTTAATGTTTCATAACAAATATTTGAATCATATTAAAGTTTACCAGGTTAATGTAATTTAGTCATACATTTAAGAAATAGCCAGCCAGGGCTCTTGAGAGGCAAAATGACTTAGAGATTGTAGCAAATGTCAAAGATCTCCTCAAATATTTTATTTTTTTAACCTTATGTAATAAAGCATGTTATTATTATTTTTTTTCCATTTGTAGGAGAAATATACAAATACATCGATCATTTTTAGCTTTATCTGTTTTGTTACTAAAGGGCCGACAGATCAGATACTTAAAAATCTATATCAAAGTGCTAAATACAAAGTGCTTACCACACTCGTAAGAAGAAGAAAAAGGGCTTTGATACTCAAGTAAAAAGGAAATAATATCTGGTATTTTCATCATGGTGTTAAAAAAACCATTGAAAAGGGAAATATTTGCTGAGAAAAGAATGGGATTCATTAAGGCTGTGAGAGACAGAGAGAATTTAATTAAATTACAAAGAGGTAGAACATGTTACTGCAACATGTTGCTCTTTCTAACCTTTAATTGTCATTCAACTTGTAGAATTTATGGAAATGCAAGAGAATTCTGGAAATATCAGTTCAGCAGAGGATTTACATTTTCCGGAGGAAATGTAGATTCTTTTAGGATTATTTGATTAATGTACACAGATACTACATGGTTTGAAGCTGCATCTTCTGCCAACAGAAGTGATTAAAGCCTGTTCAAGGCAGGTAGAAAAACACAAGCAAATACAATAAGAATATCAGCAACCAATGTGTGTTTTTTAAATAACCAACCTCTGAATAGAAAAATCAAAAGAGAAGTATTGAAGGATTATAAATATACATACCTCTGGAGCTCCAGCGACATTTAGCTGAATCATCCCTTTCCTGTCCTTTTCCTCCAAAGCGGAGTATTGGATTGACTGGACTTGGTTAAAATTAGCTAAGTGTGTTGGCTGAGGAATCACAGAGAAACACACATGCTTCATCAGTAGAATGTAAAGGGAAATAAAATTGCAAAAATTAAGCATGGCTGGTGTTTGGAGGGTAAATCTTTCCCCTTTTCACCCTAACATGACAGAAAACCAGCAGAAAAAAAAAAAGAATCAGATGAAGTGAAAGTTCTGAGGCTTAAAGCTGAACCCCAGACTCTATGAGGACTGAAATCATCTAAAACACGTCACCCTGAACTAATCAGCAGACTTTAGCCAAATGTATAAACCAAACACAACATAAGGCCGTCAGGTTTCCTGGACCCCTTCAAACACAACAGATCAGCTTTCTTTAAAAGGTTGTGCTCCCACTTTAGAAACATTACCTTCACCTAAACAAGTGCAATGAAATCCTTCTGTGATCACTGTTCACTGTTCACTTAGTACACGTTTGCATTTGCCTGGCATTTCCAGCACAGTGCTGCTTGATGAGTGAGTAGTATAAGTAACAGTAGAGGTGAAAGAGAGGCTAAGTCATCATCAATAATAATCAGGCCTCTCAGGAAGCAGGGAAGCTCTTCAATGTTTTATAGAAACTGGATCCTTTGAGATAACACAACCATTATGGGTTTCATATTAGGATTATTATCAAAATGAGAGACACAGGACATAAAGAGAAACACAATATAAGGCTATCCAGTCTTCAGGATGGGAATGTATCCTAAAAAGCTCAAATCTTTTAGCTTTAGAATGATCAAGAGGTAGAATCTTAGGCAGTGATAAATCTAAAATGGACACCATCAAAGTGCCGAATATGTTCAGATTAAAGTGAGAGAAAATAATAAACCAGCTCTGCTGGTCTATCAATGTCTCAGCAGTCCGACGTTAAACTGCAGGAGCAAAGCGATTGTAATATTAAGCACTTCCATCCAACCAATGGAGATTAATACAGAGGACTTTCTTAGAGATGAGACTTAAAACCTTTTCTAGAAAAAATGCAGCCATAGTGATTTTTGGTTTAAGAACTGCGTATCAAGCTCACATCTTTCTCCTTTAACTTCTTTTTGTTCAATAAGTACAGAGACAATTTTACCACGAGTTAGAGACTCAAAAAAAATGTGGTTAAAGCAGACTTCGTTAAACCACTAGAGGGCAGCATGACACATAGTGATCATGGGCCTTCCTTTAGGAGCTTTGTGTATATGATAATTCAAGTTCAGAGAAATGATTTATGTTAAATGTATAAAGAGACACATGAATGCATACTCACAGTTGAGCCCTTATCTGTGAGGTAGCTGATTCCTTCCTCTGGTCCTATTGCCAGCTCTACTGATATTACCCAACTAGACTAAAGACGGGAGGAAAATACAGACATTAAAACTGTTATAATTGTTTTTATATCACTAATATTGAGTTTAAACACATTTTAAGTGTCAAGCTTCAATCATCTAAGGAATTTAATCTCTAAGCTCTTCGGTCATTCTCTGACTCAGGTACAAACAGAACATAAAATACAACAAAAATAATCATTTTGTTTTCATTCTAATATGACATTTCCTCAATTGCTACAGGTTTAGATCAATATAATCGAGAAAAAAAACATCAGCATTCAACTGCTAAATTAGGATTACAGAAGGAGCAGTGGAATAGATTCATAGTTTCAAACTTTTAACAGATATATCCCATACATCTTCTGCCTAATGGATGAAGTGCATCATGATCTGTATAGGAGCTGAGAGCCTTACCCCTAAAGCGCATTTAAAGCACTCCTTGTCAAAGGGGTAGATGGGAGTGATTATCTCAAAGAACTTGTGGATGCTCTGCTCATCGTTGAGGTTAGCAAACTGTTTAAACGTCTGCTGGATCTGCTTACGAAGGGTCTTTGCCTGATGAAGCGCAGGAAGACAGAGATAAAGAAGAACATAAGAGGCTAAAGACTTTCTTGAAGGTTGGTTCAGAGCCAAGAAAAGAACAACGCACAATTGAGAGCACAATCTGTGAGTGCCAACAGCGGGTTTAACTTAATTCCACACAATCAGATAAGCAGACATTTAGCCAGAAATCCTTAGAGTCATCAGGTCGGTTCTGCTGGCAGACGACCTAACAGCCCATCAGCTGTAATTCTAGCTGCACCTCGGGTCATTGGTAATATTTAAAATGATCACATCTGAAGGATTTTCTCTCACCTTTAAGGAGTCCAACAGGCTTTTAGGGAAGAACCTTCTCAAACCCACGTCTTTTCTAAAATGAATTTAAAAAAAGTTAACACATTTAAAAATCACACGCAATAAAAAAAGAATGGAAACTAACAGGTGTGAGGTACAAGAAAAAGCTTACTCTAGTAGCTCATAGTTTGATTTCTTATCAAGAGCATTGCCCGGCATCTCTCTAAAGAACCTCCTGCAAAATTCACAGAAAGAAACAAATAAAAGACATGAGATGCTAGATACGTATAGCTTTGAAATTTAATGAGAACTGAGATCTGCTGCTGCTTTTTCTGTTGTGCTTTATGTTCTTGTTCTTTGTTTAAAATAATGCTAATTTAATGAGATGTTTTGATATGGTGGGAATTTTCGTTGAAACTTGGACGTTTAATTTGTTAAATAGATTTATTATTTGGGATTACATGAATGAAAGAAACCAGATAAGCATTTTACTTCAGCCTATTTAGTTTCAAAAACAAATTATGTAAGCATGTATTTGAAAAAGAAAGCATTATTTAGATAGGCAAGAACATGCTTACGTAAATGTATCCAAAACTTAGTGTGTATTAATATTTACTGCATATGTTGCCTGTAACTTCTGTCTAAAGCATAATGAATAAATAAGAATAATTAAAAAATATATATGTATTAATAATAATGTGACTTTAAAGTATCATTGGTATAATGTTTTAAGTCACAAAAACAACAGTTTAATTCTAAATTCTAAATTTATTTGAAACAAAGCTCTTTATTACACTGGATGGAATTATAGCATAAAGACCAAGGGAAAAGTTTAAAGCATGGTTAAGTTATAGAGCTCTGCATCTATCACAAAATGAAACTACAGCTAAATACAACTTAAAAACTGACCAAGACATTCTAATTCATCTACAGTGACCGGCCGAGTAAGGACAGCTATAAGAGATCAGAGATGCAGCCGACAGATCCGTGCATCCATAGTTGCTGCAGAGATCATCAACGGAAGAGTCATGCTTTAGCTAAGAAGTTCAAATTGCTTGACTTTGTGTGACTCAAACATCTCCCTACACGTTCTCACCTTATTTCTAAACAGCCTAGTTTCAGTGCAACATCTTGATCCACATGGTCGGCTAAATGTTGCATATAATCACTTTTCACCTACAAAAAAACAAAACAAAAAACAGGTGTGAACAGTCAAACAGGATAACACATCAGTCCAAGGTCTGTTTAATATTCAGAAATATTGTGCATGCTTTCAGGAAACGATCAATCTGTGTTCTCACCTGGTGATAGAGGTAGTTGAGAGAAGGTTTGTCTTCAGAGAAATGGCTAAGATAACCTTTAGGAAAGTATCGTATCCGGAGCTCATACCTGGAAGGGACAGAGAGAGTGTGAGAGTGTGGTAGAGGGTTTGATAGGACGGTCCTAATGGGTGAAAAAAGACTGTATCTTGCTGCATCCCTTCATAAGATTGGCTGCCTGCCAACAAAGAGCAGTTAAACAGAGCCTTATAGCTTAACAACAGAGCCTCTTCCACTCAGCACATTATATCTGGTGCCACGATGGAAGGATACACTGATCTGCTGTTAAATCAATCATCTAAAACCGATAAAGGAGTAATATCATAAACCATAATGGGGCTCCTGCAGTTACACTCGCCCAGAGCTGGTTCGCAGAAGTGCCCACATGGGTCATTGCTGTTTAGAGCGAGATGTTTGCTCAAGAATGACACGTTACAGGGAAGTAGGTCAGGAGAGTTACAAACCAGAAGTTAGATAACAAAGGAAATCAAGCCCTCTGACAAAAATGAATAAATGATAATGCTCTATTATGAATGGATCCTTAGGAAAATAATAATGTGCAACTGGAAGAAGGAAAAAAAAAACATCATAGGATGACTAAAGAGGTTTTGAAAAAAATTCAAAGAGATTAAATCATGCAAAAGGGCTGGAAAGAAGTGAGAGTCAGTCCATCCATCCCCAGGGCAACTGCAACTGCTGTTCTAAACATAGCTTGGCAGCAGCAGAAGCTCCTGTGGGCTCGAAGCTCTGCTGCCCTCTGAGGCACACGCTGCCTGCCTGCAACAACTGGCAGAGATCTACCACCTTATCTAAGCTGTTCCTGTTGAATTAATTTCAATTTCTATGACTTCAAAACCTGGACAAAAGGCTGCAATTTAAGGAGGACTGTAAAAACATCCACTGGGAACGGTTCAAAGCCTGAGAAGCTGAATGCAGACTGAAGCTTGGTGAACATGGTGTGCTCTGAATGTTAAAAAGGAATTATTTTCAAATAGAAAAAGGATTTTAACCAACTATTCTGGTCAGGTGGGAGGATTTGGATTGGAAATGAGTAGAGATTAACAGAAATAATGTAATATGTTAAGCCATAACTACTGCATGAAAACAATGTATGAGGTCCTGTGAGGGTACTGATGCAACTTGACCTCTTCTTGTCCCACCCAATCAGAAACTTTAATGTAATTTCGTGCAATTTTATACGATTGATCAACAAAATTGAGAACAAAACTATAAAGAGAAAGGAAAATAATACCTTTTTATTTTATTTTTTATTGTATTTTTTTAACAAACAAAATAAAAAGTTTGGAATAATATTAACTTTATTATTCCTGAGAACTAGAACCATTTCTGACATAATTATAGCTAAAGGTGTTTTGCAGTTTGTGCCTTTTCTTTACAAAGAGCTTAAACTGAGCAAGGTTGGATATTGAGCACATAGGAATGAAAGTTTCCAAGTCTTGCCTCAGATTATCAATTGGGCTTAAATCTTAAATTTAACTAGGCTGTTTTAAACATGAAGAATATTCCATCTATACCAAGGCAAAGTAGCTACCTTGTTTTCAGGGTTTAGACAGAAATTAGTAACTCTAATTTAATGCTTTTTTAATGCTCTTTAATCCAAACTTTTTCGTCATCTTTACCATTAACAGGCTGCAGCCATGTCCCGAATTTCCACGTTTTCCAGACTCTTTTGTTGAAATTTGCATTTTCCCATTCTCTAGCTTTTTCTCCGTCTTGAGCTTCTTTTACAAAAATACTGCTTTACGATCAAACATTTATATCTGATATATCTGAGGAAAATAAAGCATTTTTAAATGCCATGATAATCACATTTAATGAATTTGAATGCCAATTAAGGCCTTAATTTAAAATGGAATAATTTAATGACTTTTAATGATTTAAAAAGGAACCCTGGATTTAAAGGGCACCTTTTTAAGATGCTGTGTTTGTGAATGATGTTACCAAGAATGAATTAGGGTGACATTTTTAGGTTATTCATTAGGCAATATCTGCTTATTGTTCATCACTTTGTTGTAGATAAACATCATGCAAAGTTCCTAACCGACCAGAGGGTTGGCCCTGCTTGCACAATGAGACACTAACCATTACTTTAAATTATCGTAATCGAGGGAGGAACAGAATTGAAGGAATTAACAGGAAGCAACAGAAAGTGTGTCGATCTCTAACTTACCGCCACTCTTCTTGTGGATGCTGCTTCTCGTACCTCTCCCTGACATGGGACACGCCCAGGTCTGGATGTAACCAGTGGAGCGCGTCAGAGTGCAGATGGGTCAAACGGAGGCCCAAAGAGGATACACAGCGTAACTTATGGATCTCTGCTATCTTCTGGATAACACCCTGTCAAAGCAATTCAAATACCAAACAATTAAATAAGCAATAAAATACTAAGTAACTGAAAATGTGTCTGTAAAGAAGTTTGTGCGCCTCTTACTCTGACATCTGTAGCGTCTCCATGCCTGATGTTACTTGCCCAGGTGCTTGGTTCATTGTTTGTCTCAAAGTAATGGAAGATTTTAAGTACACGGTCCATGGACCCTGGAGGCCTCTCCAGACCTCCAGCAGAACCACTGGTGCCAGGAGCTCCAGGCATCCCAGGCCGGGATTTAACCCCACAACCACCCGCTGCTGAGTGATTGAGGCTGGGCTCCAGGTAGGAAGACGATGCCATGCCTGACTCGGACGGTCCTGCTGGGGCTAACTGGCCGTCATATTCTGGAACAAGATGAGCAGTCAAGACATGAGGACAGTCCAAATAATCCATGTGAGTCTAGCTCTGATCTGAGAGACAAATAAGTGTAATTAAAACATGTATCTTTTGGTTATAAAACTATTAACCAACTGAGATGACACGGTGCAAAAAAGCTCACTACTTCTATGCTTTTTAAGCCATAATGACATAATCAGTAAGATATAAAAAAGAATAAAAACCTAACAAATCCAAGCATGAAGGTGAATGAAGACTCCAATCAATCAATATCAAGAGCAAAATCCCTGCCACTCAGGCCTTGTTGCTCTCACAGTCCTTCAGATTCACAACAGTCTTAAGTACCTTGGAGATTTCTAAGAGGTGACTGCCTCTAATATTGATCAAATACTTCCTCTGTGCAATTGTCCCCTCTTTGAGTTAGTCTAATGCATAAAAGCCGAATAAAATACAACAAATCTTTAGGCTGTATAGTGAAAAAAATGGGAAAAAGTAACATTACATGCTTTCCTGGTGAAGAAATTATATGCAGAAAAAGAAGGAGTATCTACATTTTAATTTTAAACAGAGCCATGTTCTGCAGTGCTAACCTGTAATCAGAGGGACGCTAATTAGACATTAACATCCACCCTGACATCCTAAACAGTCATTGTTCCCTAAAGGGAGCAAACAAAGCAGCAGTGGTTCCCCACACCTGCTGCTGTATTTCTGAACAGCGATTTTTCACCTGATAAACCAGAACTATAAACCTCTGTGTCTTCTGGATATCAAACCTGTTTGTGCGTGGCACTTCCACACAAGTGTTTCAGTAGATGTAAAAAGTAAAAGCCGAGAAATTTCTGTTCAAAATCGTTTCCATATGGTAAAAAAAACAACTGCTAGAATCAAGGATGTAAGTTAATTCAGCAGGGCTAACAGGATGAATTCTCTTTTATCATTCAGAAATATTCTATCATCTTTTTTTTTCATGTTTTTTTTACTGGACATCCATACTGGATCTGATGGGTCATCATCACACCAGGAGCTTTTTTCAGCTGACTGAGAAGTTAAAGTTCTGGTTCGCAACTAAGGACAGAAGAAAACCAAATCCAATTGTTTGATAAGTAACCTCCTTCTACATAGTCACCATCAGTACATGAAGGTAATTCTTTTATAAATGAATTACTAATTTTTAATCCGAAGCCAAATCCTCTCCAGAAACTATGAACCTGTGAACAGAAGAGCCTGGAGCAACCCAATCCCTGGGACCGAATCACTGTGGTCAGCTTTTTTTTCTTCTGCACTAGGGTCACAGCCAGATTACTTCCTGCTGAAACAGAGGTCCAAAAATATGACCCAGCGTTGGTTGATTCAGCATTTTCAGCAGTGTGGCTGTCAGCCACCACTGTGAAGGGATATGCACAATAATGGCAAAAGAAAAGAGGACATCACTTGTCTTGTGTCTGCTGCCCTTACTGGTTCAGCCTGCTCTGACAAAACTACGCTGCATCCAAATCATATCTGCATGGACCTCATTATACATAACTCGTGTCCACAAAGAGGTAATTGAAGGTATTTCTCCTTTAAGTATTGTATTTGTATTGTTTCCTTTGTCTCATGAATCAGTTATTTTCTAATAGTATTTGCAAAGTGCAGACTTTAACGTTCAAGAAATGTGAAACTAGAGAAAGGGGAATGTGTTTTAGAACGAAGTTTGGCACTGAGGACCGTTTAAAGTGCACCGTTAGTCAGAGCCTTTAATACAGCTGGGAGCCACAGAGATCAGTGAATCAGTCACAAGCTCTTCAGACACTCCAGGATTTAATGAAACAGATTAGTACAGATCAAATTCAACAAATGAGTTCTTATGGGGTTACTAAGATCATCCAATTAAAAGTATATCAAACAAAAAAAAAGATAAGTTGTTAAGGCATTTGAGACAGGAGAATCTTACAGAACAGCGCATAGAAAGTCCTCAAAGTCGATGTTTTTTTCAGATTGGCTATACGGCTATACTTTTGTCCTTTTTTCTAGGCTATCTGATGTATCCTACACCCTCTGGCAACTTTAATAGGTAGACCTACTCGACTGCGTGTTAACACAAATATAACAAAAGGAACAACCAATAATATGGCAGTAATCTATTTTCTTTTTTAGATGCAGTAAAGATAGTTCTATGCCAATTTATTTTCAGAAAAATACAATGCTACTGACAAATGACCAGATTATTATCATATTTCATCAACTGAATAAAAGAAAAACATTTTCAGGGTCACTAAGTCACTAAGCTAAATTACCGTATTTTTCGGACTATTAGTGCACCTAGCTATAAGCTGAGCCCACTAAATTTTTTGAAAAAATTGGAAACGTACATTCATAAGCCACACCGGGCTATAAGCCGCTGATATCTACTAAACTGTCTCCTGCCACACCTATAGGGGGAGCTCTACATATAGCCCCTATAGTAGGACTAAGGAAGAGTGTTAGCTCCTGTTAGCTTGTTGGCTCGCTGCAGTAAGAGCTTCTAATGAAAGATTGGGCTTTGACGGCTATTTATTTTAGCTCTGCAGGAGTTGAGCCTGGTCTCTTCATTGGTTTGGCAGCTTTAATGAGGCAAATAAATGGCAAAATGTGTAAATTCAGGACATTTTCGTGCCTGCTGCTAGCATGTTCTTGTGCTAAATGAAAATTCTGCTAACATGTTCTTGTGCTAAATAAAAATTAGCCCCTAATTTTGTCCTTTCCAACTTTGACTTCCCCCCTCTGGCTGTTAGCAAAAATTGACAGAAAAGCCGCACTTTCTTATAAGTTGCACGATTCAAAGTGTGGGAGGAAAAAAGAAGCGGCGTTTAGTCCGGAAAACACAGTAGTTGAAAAGTAGTTTCTTAATCCTCAGTGTCATAAAAGCTCCTCCTGCATCTTTCATGGGTTGTTTCTATGCTACCAAAGTGTTTCAACATACACTATATTGCCAAAAGTATTTGCTCACCCATCCAAATTATTGGAATCAGGTGTTCCAATCACTTCCATGGCCACAGGTGTATAAATTCAAGCACCTAGGCATGCAGACTGTTTTTACAAACATTTGTGAAAGAATGGGTCGCTCTCAGGAGCTCAGTGAATTCCAGCGTGGAACTGTGATAGGATGCCACCTGTGCAACAAATCCAGTCGTGAAATTTCCTCGCTCCTAAATATTCCACAGTCAACTGTCAGCTGTATTATAAGAAAATGGAAGTGTTTGGGAACGACAGCAACTCAGCCACGAAGAGGTAGGCCACGTAAACTGACGGAGCGGGGTCAGCGGATGCTGACGCGCATAGTGCGAAGAGGTCGCCAACTTTCTGCAGAGTCAATCACTACAGACCTCCAAACTTCATGTGGCCTTCAGATTAGCTCAAGAACAGTGCGCAGAGAGCTTCATGGAATGGGTTTCCATGGTCGAGCAGCTGCATCCAAGCCATACATCACCAAGTGCAATGCAAAGCGTCGGATGCGGTGGTGTAAAGCACGCCGCCACTGGACTCTAGAGCAGTGGAGACGCGTTCTCTGGAGTGACGAATCGCGCTTCTCCATCTGGCAATCTGATGGACGGGTCTGGGTTTGGCGGTTGCCAGGAGAACGGTACTTGTCTGACTGCATTGTGCCAAGTGTAAAGTTTGGTGGAGGGGGGATTATGGTGTGAGGTTGTTTTTCAGGAGCTGGGCTTGGCCCCTTAGTTCCAGTGAAAGGAACTCTGAATGCTTCAGCATACCAAGACATTTTGGACAATTTCATGCTCCCAACTTTGTGGGAACAGTTTGGAGCTGGCCCCTTCCTCTTCCAACATGACTGTGCACCAGTGCACAAAGCAAGGTCCATAAAGACATGGATGACAGAGTCTGGTGTGGATGAACTTGACTGGCCTGCACAGAGTCCTGACCTCAACCCGATAGAACACCTTTGGGATGAATTAGAGCGGAGACTGAGAGCCAGGCCTTCTCGTCCAACATCAGTGTGCGACCTCACAAATGCGCTTCTGGAAGAATGGTCAAAAATTCCCATAAACACACTCCTAAACCTTGTGGACAGCCTTCCCAGAAGAGTTGAAGCTGTTCTAGCTGCAAAGGGTGGACCGACGTCATATTGAACCCTATGGATTAGGAACGGGATGTCACTTAAGCTCATATGTGAGTCAAGGCAGGTGAGCAAATACTTTTGGCAATATAGTGTATATTAGGGTATCATTTTAACTGTCATTAATGAAAGAGGAAAATGTGCTAGATGTGCAATAGAGAATTGTTTCCAAACTGGTCCAAATCTGCTGGGGGCACACATTAAACACATTAATATAGTACAAAAACTAGGGCTGCAACTAACCATTATTTTGTCATCCCTTAAGTTGCCGATCAGTTTTTCAATCAATCTGAAAGCGAAAAATTCCTTAAAGAAAAAAGAAGTAAAGTTTTTTTTTTTTATTATTATATAGAATTGATCCAGGTGAAACTAAATCTTTTCCACATGATAAGTTCTCGGTGGAGTACATTGACAGGTAAGAAAGTTTTTTTTTCTCTTAAATGCAAAATAAACTTTTTAAAACTGTTTATTTTATAATTGCTGTTCTAAGTTGGTTGCTCTGTCAGCTAAAGTCATGTTTTAAGAGCCTATGCTCCAGTTCATCGATTCATTCGATTACTAAATTAGTTTTTATTTCAAAAGCTTGATTAATCACAATCTAATTAATTGTTTCAGAACTAACAAAAACATTTACATCTAACCACAACATTCGTTCTACTAACTCCTACACCTACATTTCCAAGGATGCATATCTCCAGTTTATGCAGCACCGCGAGCAAATTTACTCAGTAATTGGTTAAAGCATTTTATAGAACATTCAAAGTAAAAATTTTATGTTTTGTTTGTTACTCAAGAGAACAGCATGACTGTTATAAAATAATACCATAAAACTAGAGATGTTCTAGCTTTTATTGCCTAGTGTTGTCGTTGAGATATGACCTGATAATTCAGAATTTCTGTAAATAAAGATGATTTTCTTATGGAAATCATTTTCCTTATCAACGGCAAATCATACTTTGATCTTGATCACTGCATTATTGTTGTATTCATGATTGCCTAAAACTTCAACTACACAATGAATTACATTTTAAACTACTTTAACTTGAACAACTATCTAGTCAAACTACTGAACTGGATTCAAACACACACTCCTTATATCCACAATGATTGAAATCAAGTCAAAAGGGTCCTGCAGGCTGCTGGCAGAGCCATCGCTCCCCCTTACAGGGGCTTTACTGATAGCCAGCCTGTTGAGCCGCAGCGGGCTGAGGATGAACTCTGCTCCACACCAGCAGCACAGGGAGGGTTCATGTTATCAGCCTCACAGGGAACTGGGTTACTGCTGAAAGGTCACTTCAGTGGAAGGTAATGCTTCTGTCTGCTTTCTTTGCATCTCCCTCATCATTTTCCTTTTTGTCATTTCTCAGCCCAATGAGGACTTTTCCCGCTCCATCAATCCTCATTCATTCTCTAACTCTTCTTTTAGAAAATTCTTTCATTGTTCACAGACCTACAGTCATTTGATCGTCCTCCGACTGAATGACTTCTCTTCCATCCTGCCCCTAATTTTTCTTCGATCTTCAAAAACTTCTTTATACCTTCACAACCAGACACACACACACACACCTCCCCATTCTGGAGGAAGTACATCATGTACACCAGAGCACCAGGAAGAACAGGTTCAAAAGTCAAAGACTAGCTATACATCAATGCAAGTGAATAAAAGACTATGCATGCCTCTGATGCAAGAAGGTTCCTAACCATATACTTTTGTAGTTGGGTAATAAACTACAGAATCTTATTGTGCTTGAATGAAAAAGACCCAGTACCTAGATAAGCTAAATAACCTGACAACCAATCCTCGTACAAAGAGGTGCAGAGAGAATATAAATGAAATTTAGCCTCATGTATAAAAGCTGCTCATGCAGTGCTTCAATGGACCTTTGGGAGATACTTCAAAGTTTTGCATCCAGAGCTCATTTATCATAAATGCTGACAGCTGCAGTCACAGAGGACTGGATTTCTAGGCTTTCTAGCACACCGAGTTTACCAAAAAATAATCATAAAACTCATTCAAAAATTATACATACAACTAGGACAATAAGTGGACTACCAGTAAGAAGGATGCATTGAAGGAATAAGTATAAATGGATTATATTTCTTTTGAAAAATATGTAAAAGAAAAGCTGCTTTGTTGGTATAATATTGTGTTCTATCTGAAAAATTGGAAGTTGTTAAGCCGCATGAGCTTAATTTTCAACAAGGTTGCCACACCTTAAAACACTGATGAAAGTATTATGTTTAAACCCCTTATTTTATAACAGACTGTCCCACATTGCACTGAACAACTTCTTTAATGTTTGTTACTATTAGGGGTGAGTATTGGCTAATGTGTTGTGATAGGATACATGTCACGAAAAGATCTTATGATATTGCAAAATCAGTATATATTGCGATTTTACCCAGCTATAAAAATGAAATGCATAAACAAAAAACGAGTGTTGTATATGTTCATCAGAATCCATGTTTTTTGGGGGTTTGAGTCCGACAACTTCTTCTAATGTGACTGCCTAAACTACAGAAATGGGGCTGTGTTGCACAGAAAAAGGGCTCCATGGTGCAAACTACCAGAGTGGTGGTGCAGAGGTAGCCCATTTTCCCTCATCGTTTTAGATTAAATTATTGTGCAGCCAAAAATCAGGATATATCGCCAAATCGATTTTTCCCCACACCCCTAGTTATTAGAAACTAAAACATTGGGGATTTTTGTTGCTTACTATTAGCTGGAATATCTTAAATTTTAGTGGATTACAGCATGAACTCACTCAGCTTCAGCTTAAATTGAGCTTTGACTTTCAGGGGAAGCTGAGAGCCCATTTCTGCCATCTGTGAAGATTTAGATTATATAGTGAACTTCAAATGTCATTGCATTATTAATGCGTGCAATACTGAAATCATCGAGGTTTGGTTAGAGATAATATATAGAATGTTTTACTTTTTCAGCTGTTCACTGAGACTCAGATTATCAATAATACATGGTCCTGACTTAATGAACCTTTTTGAGCCCTTTTTTATAGCCAAGGTAAAAAGGAATCTTGGGTAGTTTGTTTGCTCTCTGTTTTAGCTGCTATAAAAGACCGTGGCATATTTACTAAAATCAGCCACATGACATATGGAGGTTGTTGGATGTCCCATGATGAAGTGGTTTAAGTCTTGGACTGATGTAGGGGGCCCCAATATGAATGCTGGTTGTGTCAGGAAAGGCATGCAGTGTAAAAACTTTGCCAAGTCTGTGAGTAAGTTACAATGAATTGATCTGGTAACCCTTGAATATGGGACCAGCTGAAAGGACACAAAGTAGTAGACTTATTCTACATAGCAACTGCGACTGCACAAAAGAAGAACCCGATAGACTGTGAACATGAATCCTACAATGTTGTTCTTTATTTCAATCCTAGAAGAACTGAAGCACCTGGCCACACCCTAGCTCTGCCCCTACTTAGTGACCAACATGCCAGGGGTCAAAGTAGCTATAGAGGATATAAATAAAACAATAAAATATAGGATAAATGCTACTGATAACTGACACTTCACTACTTGCCGCTATTAACTACTTTAAAGTATACAGTAGTAGCAGTTGGGCCACAACAAATGGCTGATGCTCCTTAGATACACTATATTGCCAAAAGTATTTGCTCACCCATCCAAATTATTGGAATCAGGTGTTCCAATCACTTCCATGGCCACAGGTGTATAAATTCAAGCACCTAGGCATGCAGACTGTTTTTACAAACATTTGTGAAAGAATGGGTCGCTCTCAGGAGCTCAGTGAATTCCAGCGTGGAACTGTGATAGGATGCCACCTGTGCAACAAATCCAGTCGTGAAATTTCCTCGCTCCTAAATATTCCACAGTCAACTGTCAGCTGTATTATAAGAAAATGGAAGTGTTTGGGAACGACAGCAACTCAGCCACGAAGTGGTAGGCCACGTAAACTGACGGAGCGGGGTCAGCGGATGCTGACGCGCATAGTGCGAAGAGGTCGCCAACTTTCTGCAGAGTCAATCACTACAGACCTCCAAACTTCATGTGGCCTTCAGATTAGCTCAAGAACAGTGCGCAGAGAGCTTCATGGAATGGGTTTCCATGGTCGAGCAGCTGCATCCAAGCCATACATCACCAAGTGCAATGCAAAGCGTCGGATGCGGTGGTGTAAAGCACGCCGCCACTGGACTCTAGAGCAGTGGAGACGCGTTCTCTGGAGTGACGAATCGCGCTTCTCCATCTGGCAATCTGATGGACGGGTCTGGGTTTGGCGGTTGCCAGGAGAACGGTACTTGTCTGACTGCATTGTGCCAAGTGTAAAGTTTGGTGGAGGGGGGATTATGGTGTGGGGTTGTTTTTCAGGAGCTGGGCTTGGCCCCTTAGTTCCAGTGAAAGGAACTCTGAATGCTTCAGCATACCAAGACATTTTGGACAATTCCATGCTCCCAACTTTGTGGGAACAGTTTGGAGCTGGCCCCTTCCTCTTCCAACATGACTGTGCACCAGTGCACAAAGCAAGGTCCATAAAGACATGGATGACAGAGTCTGGTGTGGATGAACTTGACTGGCCTGCACAGAGTCCTGACCTCAACCCGATAGAACACCTTTGGGATGAATTAGAGCGGAGACTGAGAGCCAGGCCTTCTCGTCCAACATCAGTGTGCGACCTCACAAATGCGCTTCTGGAAGAATGGTCAAAAATTCCCATAAACACACTCCTAAACCTTGTGGACAGCCTTCCCAGAAGAGTTGAAGCTGTTCTAGCTGCAAAGGGTGGACCGACGTCATATTGAACCCTATGGATTAGGAACGGGATGTCACTTAAGCTCATATGTGAGTCAAGGCAGGTGAGCAAATACTTTTGGCAATATAGTGTACATCAACACTAAAAGTGTGCATGCGCAGCAAGACAAAACTAGTGTGTCACAAAGATTGGCATGTGGGGCAACCAATAAAAAGATTGAACTCTCTAAACTCTAAGCCAAAAGAAAACCAGAAATTAAGTAGCCCTACATCTTCTATAACAGAGGTGCAAAAATAGCTTTAGTTGAAGAAAAAACTAAATTAGACTTAAAAACTTAAGATTAGGTTTTTGTTGTCTTTACAAATAGTATGAATATATTACTAATCATATCTGTGGTTTTTAAGAATTAAACCATGAAGAAAAAAAAAAATGCCAGGTTTGGCTTTTTTTTATCCTATACTAAAATAAGTACCGGTATCTAATTAGAATCTTGTTTATGCAGCTCATAAGTTTATAAAAGAATTTCTGTTCAGTCTGGGTTTAATTGATCAGCACATTGTGTTATAAAAAAAAACAAACAAAAAAAACGTTTGCTGATGAGGAATCTGCTTGCAGTGATGTCTTTACATCCTGTTCTCTAAAAAGATGTGAAATCCGAAACGTGAAGACGATACTACATACTTGGTAGAGGATGCTGCGCATAGATGCAGGCCCCTTTGCTCCAACACAGAGGGATGCAGCCGCTGTTCTCCATTTCATATGAAGGGGGTCACGATGCAGTGTAGACCACACAGCCCACTTTATAATGCTCAGCCAAAAAACCAGCATAGAGCCAAGTAGAAGTTTCTATTCTCTTTGCAAATATATTAAAAATGTCATGGTTGAAAATGTTTTAAAGATGTGGAATCTTTCCCAAACTGATCACAGTTCTGTCAGAACTAGAATCTGGGTTATGAATGATAACATAAGTTATCATTATAAGAAAAATGGTTTACTGTAAATAGTCTGGATCTAAAATTGATTCCAATCATGTAGTCCTTTCTCGCTTGCAGATTTCTTTTTTTGTGGTAAGGTTTTAAGAAAATCACTCCATCCAGTTCATGTATTGACCTTTGACCCAGAAAAATATCTTGATGACTGCACTATACAACATGTAATGGTTCCCTGTCAAGTAGCATTTCTTGTTGCCTGATGGAGTCTCTGTCTTGGAGGATATGGATGACTGGTATTTTGCTGAAATATGCGTCTTTGATTCAATCAAAACAATGATTTGTTTTTTTTCTTCACAATTCAATAGTTCTATTTATAGTTTCACAATAAATCAGATATTAAATCCAGGTAATCGCAGCCAAATAATGCAATATATTAATCCTGATGTAGAAGCTGAAAAATGTTCTCTTGGTTCTTTTTATCCAATTTCCAGTTTCAGTTCACAAAGTGATACTGAAGGTTTATCCTTCCAAAAAGGCAGTTATCTTTGTTGGTAAATCCACAGTATTGTTCAAAGGAGAAAGCGAAAGAAATTAGGCAGAAATCAGATGTGAGAACCGGGCATCAGTGGGCTGTAGAGACAAAAATGTAGGGCAGAGAGGGGAGCAGAGAAATGGAACAGAGTGAGAGAGAAAGATGAAAGTGGCCAATGCAGGAGGGAAAAGGCACTGCAAGAAAAGGAAAGACAAGAGGGAGCGGATGAAGAGCAAAACCGATGTTAGAAAAAAATAGGGAGAAAGATGAGCTAATAAAGAGAGCGGGATGGAGATAGAAAGCAGAGAATCCCCAGGGAGAAGATGAGTCTCACGTCCTCCAAAGATTGCTCATAATGCCTGCAGGAAGTAGCCAGGTCAAAGCTGCTGGTATCTGAAGCTGGAGAGGGACAGTCTTAGAGGTGAAAAGATTTGAGAAGAAGAGCGGAGCTTCAAACCCGGGCAAAGGAGACGGCGAGGAAAAAAATAAAAAGATATTACAGAGGAAGGTTTGATGCAGTCAGTCCCTTTCAAAGTTGGTCAGTCTGTCGTTCAGCAACGTTCCAGAAGCCTTTCTTCTATAGCGTCGCAACAGAAGCGAGATCACAGCATCCTTCCTGATCTTTAATACATACCGCAGACTAATAGGAGTAAAATCTTTCAGCTCTCTGAGGGATCCAGTAAAAGCAACAAAGTGTGTGTTAGCTATACAGAGAAAAGGATACAGAAAGGTGGGTGTGCATGTTAGTAAAGAGGTAATCAGCTCAGAGTGTGTAAGAGAAATCTAAATGTGAAGTCTGGTGAGTGCGTGCTTGAATGTCAGCAAAAAGTGAGCGAGCCAAGAGGTTTTCCTCAGTGCTGCTATGATCGCTAACAAGCAGAAGCATAGCATGAGGGGCAGGATGGTGTGTGTGTGTGTGTAGGGCGGAGAAGGACAGAAAAGGAGGAGGAGAAAGGAAGAGATAGAAACCCTGTAATTGAGAACCAATGCAGAGAAGCAATCTGAGCACTACGCTGAAGAGGAAGACTCCACTCTTAATTGACATGCTAATAAACATCATTCATAAGAACAAAGGCTGCAAAACAGCTACAATTATAAAATAAAAACTTAATTTTATGTGCAACAATTCATTATCGGGTTTTAAAAGGATTAAAATGATCCATGCCTAACTCTTGTAAACATTACACTCTGACATTTTAACACTGATGTTTCTCCCATTCACCCCTAGCTTCCTCTTCATATACCTATTGCTCCTGCATCACACCAAGCCTTCAACAGCAGCCAGGTATCTCAGATAAGACAAAGCACAAGAAGACAAAGTGTGCCAGCAGTTATTCAGGAAGTAACACTAACAATCAGAGGATGTTGAGTCTATGGAGATTTTTATGGATAATTTTCATCAAGGAAAATCTTTAGAGAAAGATACCGCTGCTACTTGGTTTATCTTGAAACTACAATCAACCTTTTCTGTGAAAAAACAAAATGATCATATCTCAGTTTCCCAAATTTTGCATATCTTTAAAAGGGCTAAAATGATCTGTACCTGTATGAATAGTCAAAGGAAAAGGTTTGAAATGGTATAAAACTCTGATCATTTCTGGATTTTCCTCTGGTTTTCTGACCAATTGCAGATCTTTTAATCTTTAAGTGAACGGCCTTCTTGCCATCAACACCCTCTTTATCATTTAATCAGAATCTGGCTGCTTCAAACTAGTGCCAGATAAAAAAAAAAGAAAAAAAGAAGGTGGTAAAATCAAAAGATTACTTCTACTTAAAAGTGTGACATGAATACCTACAGGTGCAAAAATATTCTGTGTAAAGTAGCAACAAACAAGCTTTTTGTTTCATTTCTGGTGAAGTTCAGAGGTTATGCAATGGAAAAACTACATAACACGGACTGGAGCGATTAGTAGATATAACTGAGAAGTAAGTTTTATTCATTAGGAGTTTTTTAATTAAACTTTTAAACAAAACTTAAATTTTTTCTTAAAACTGCTGCAACAGATCAATAATAAGTGAATGTTCAGCGGCTAAAACTGATGTAAATTCCTCAGGGGTAGACAATAAATGAGGTTTAGACAGCCTACAAGGATTCACTGCAGGTTAAAGCAGCGCAAGAGGAATGCAAACCTGATGAGACGATATTCGGGGCCTACTGATGAGCACCGAACACAGGAACACTTGGAGAATAGATTTTTCCAAACAGTTTGAATTTGCTGAACACACACTAGTAAGTGACAAACATTTTTTGTCTGCTGGGTTTTCTACTAATCCATAAACAATGGAAACTTGCTTGATGTCAAAGCGTATTAATGCATGGACTCTCCATCTTCATGCAACTGGCCGATTTTAATTTAATGGCATTTCCATTTAATCGCGTACAAACCAGGGGTGTAAATTATAATCGTTTTGTATCGATGCATCAATCCAACAGCCGACGATCCGATGCATCGACACGTCCGCAAGATAATCGATTCATGTTTTGTTTTTTTCTCCGGTCTATTTTTATCCATTTGCTCCTGGGCGTAATTCTCCCTCCCGTGCTGCGGTGGCGCTAAACCTATTTTGCCCTCCTACCTCGCTTCCTGGTTATACTCTTACAGCAGTGTGTTGCAGCAAACTTGACACAGACATTTTTAAATTATGCTCAATATTGTAGCGTGGTCTGAGCTACACACTGTGGGTCTAGATACGGCCGAGGCGGTGAGGAAGTGGGGACGAGTTTAAGGTAGTCCGACAACGGAGGGACATGAGGGCCAAAAAGAGCGGAGATTCAGCTGGAAAAAGGGTCCCAGCGGTCTCGCGCACCTCGCTCTTCTAGCGGGTCAAACTTCACGAGTTGTTTTCCGCAATTTCGTCCATAAAAACAAAACAAGCTGGCCTCCTGTCTGCGGCACTGTTTGCAGTCAGCTACAATTTGGGAGAGGAGCAGCAGAGCATCTGTGGAGGGGGCGGGACGCCTGGAGCCGAGGTATTGCATTGCACTCATTGCATTGATTATGTGCTGTTTTTTTGCAGTATTTTTTTGATGCAACTTTTCTACTTCTGTTATTTGCTGTTGTTTCTAAAAAAAAAAAAAAAATACATAACGATATTACAGCTTTCATTGATTTATTTCAAACTTGAAACTTTGTTTAGCCTGTAAGGTCTAAAAAAAAAAAAAAAATAAATAAATAAATTAATCGATTAATCGAATCAAATCGTGGTGTATTCTTGAGTATCAAGATAATCGAATCGTTGGGTCAGGAAATCAATACTGAATCGAATCGCCATGATGGGTGTGATTTACACCCCTAGTACAAACCTAAATAAAGACAAAATAAATTAGACAAGCATACTCAATACAAAAACTAAAACAGCAAATAAATACAAAGGACTTAAAAATCACACTGAAATGTAATTTTCGCCTGTTAGGAATAAAGGATATAATCGAAACGTGTTTTCTTAAAAACGAGGCCCATTACTGTTTAGCCGTTTAGGTAATAACTTTATAATACAGGCTTTATTTTATTCATTTTTATCAAGCTAGACGTAGTAAAATGCAAAATAGTTTACTTCTCAAAGTGAAAATCTTTAGTTGAAATGCAGACCACTATTTCAAAGAATAAACTGAATTTAAAATATAATCGGTATACAAACAAAATATTGTATTATTGATTATAAAAAGAAAATACACAAACATAAGAATCACTGTTAGTGACAGATTTAAATACAAAATGAATATACCGGTAAGTTTGAAATTGCCATCATGGAGGACAAAAAGTGACCATGAGGGATTCAGAGGGTTCCCTCTGATAGGACACTTTGGACTGGTTCTTGGGTCAAACCTTCTCCATCTAAATATTCGACTGACCCAACAATTGGTTGGGATTTTTTTCACTTTGGGACAAGCTGGTTTAAAGACCAGGCTGTGGATCATCAAATTCAACTACAAAAGTTATTTAAATTTTTTTTTATATATATCCATTCTTTGTACATCTGATGGACTTTTATTAGCAATGTTTATAGACCTTGAGCAGAAATGGTCAAGGCTAAATTTTTAGTCGCTGTCATTTTCTAGGTCAGGAGATGACCTGATTGAAACTATCTCACTTCCAAAGGCATCTAAAAAAGTTCAGTCTAGGAAATATAAAACCTGCTTTGGTCTTTTTTAGGATTAAGCCCTTCCGGCTTCAAACATCCTGAACGAAGAACTGCAGTAGTACCATTGGTTACCTAGCAACAACCAAGAAGAGAAGATGGAGCCAAGGGCCATTAAACGGCTTATCTATACGTTTAAAATGTATTCAGCTTCATGAAAAAGCAAAACCAATCCTTCACCCAGACAAAAATGCAAATAAAGTAATAAATAGAAATAACTATCTGGAAATAAATTAAGTAACGGTAAAATTTTAAAATGAACAAACTGATAAAAGAATACAAATATAAATAAAAATTAAAGAAATGTTTTTAATATACTAAGACCAAGATAAAATCATTAATATCGTAGGAACGCACACACTCTTGACCTAAGGGTATTAAGCAAGAAATGTAATTTAATGTAACATCAACCAGGCTCTGATTTACTGTTGAAACAAATCTGTTTTGATTTCACTTATCATCTGAAAAGAAACCTATATCTAAACATATTCAAGTAGAAAACAAGATAAACAATAACTACATAGCATAAAAAATAAAAGTGTACTCACCGGCATAATACGATATCCTGGAAATCTCTGAAAAAGAGGAAGACATGAAACAAACATTTTACTTTGTTTGCCTTGATAGTAAAACATACGAATATCTGAGCTGGTGAATAATTCACAGTGACAGCATGGAAATCAATTGTGTCATCGATGAGTCACCACA